ACCTGTAGTCTTGTTAAATCATAAAAAACAATCATTGTCAATATGAAAGATTCTGTAGATGTTATCAACAGTATTTTTTTAATGTAACTTAAACTACAAGATGATGTTTGTTAGGTGTTGACTGATCAGCCTGGCCAGTTATCAGATCAACATTTTGTTTTAGATTATCCTTATTTTTAGATTGATTATTGATTAAAATACTTCAGCTTGCAGCTGTTACTTTGGCTCTGATGCAGATGCTGCTCAGTTCCATGTTTCCATGACACATTTTTTTAAAGTTATTTTTTCTTATACACATTTGAAAATGTATATGCATTAGAAAACGGTACTGTAAACTGCAACATTTGAAAAAATAATCCCAATTATGATCTCTTGAGGTAGTTTTTAACTTTTTTGTAAAGTAAATAATGCGCTTCATGGGAGATAGAAACACCTTTTTAGAATATTCTCGTAGTTTAATCGTATAAATTCGTATAAAATCGAATAAACTAGGAGAACAACCAGGACCTGGATGATTGAGAATCTTCAGACTTTTTAGAATAGACTTCTAATACATTTGAATCACGTCTGTTCAGCTAATTCTTCTTCTTTTGACGTCATCACTTGCAAACAGTGTGAACACGGCTGACATGAAAGAATAAATACAGTCTATCTGACAGAAAAACAATTTCTGAAGACCTGTCTAGTTTTTTTTTTTTTGTTTGCTACTACTTTGTTTTTTAGGCGATAGCAAAAAAAAACTGATTTAGTTTCTGTCTTCTTCTGTTCTGTTTATTACAGCCAGGTGTAATTTAGCTTCTACCACCGTCTGACAAAAGTATCCAGATTAGTTTATTCAATCCAACACAGCTTTGGGTGTCTTCGATTACTAATAATCTGTATCTGCCCTGGAGAAAAAAAACAAACCAGTCAGCGTCTAGTATGATGGTATTGTCTCTTTAATCTCATTTGATTAGTCTCATTAGTTGTTTGATTTCTTCTTTGTTTCTCCAGGGAGGCGTCGGATTAGCAATAATCCCTTGTTGTGTCGATAGAGCGACTGTTTCAAGCGTTGATCTTAGTTTAGTGCTGAAACTACATACAATAGATTCACAGATTGAATGTCTACTGAAGTCTTATGTAAAATAGCAATAAAATGTGTAAAGACTTCAGGAGTAACATTCCCAAGAGTTCTTTCTTTTGTACGAAGCCTCTGACAGTAAAAGAAATAAATAAAATGTTCAGCGATAGCCACAACATTTAAAACCGCAGATGAGGTGAATAACATGGATTTCCTCTTTTAAAGCAATGTTCTGATGGGAAATCGTAAGTCGTGGTGTTCATCTAGATGCTGCTTTGACCCTTAAACACTGTTGCAGACCAAATACGTCCTCTACCAGCAGGAGACACCACAAAAACTGCCTAAAGAACAAAACAAAAGCACTGACTGGACCACGTGTCCGTGGGATAGAACGTGCCCGATCCATGGGTGCTAACTCTGCAACTCACAGGACCCGAAGGACCTACAAAATAGTAGACAGATGGTTTTAATGTTGTGGCTGATGAGTGTGTTTTGTATATAATTGGGGACAAAATGCTTATGCAACCAGAAAAACTATTCTGACATGTCAGCAGCAGAGAACCCAGAACTTGATGAGGAACTTACCTTGAATTATCTGCTTTAAAAGTAAAATGCATGAAAATATATATGAAATGATGCAGATTCTGTCAGTAGTTGTACAGCATCAGACTTCCAATCTGCTGCAGTCTTAAGACAAGTAGAGCAGCTGACTTCTCCAGTGCCAGTGAAATTAAACCAGTGTACCAAATCCAACTGTGTCACTCTGTGCTAAAAAAAAAATACCAAGGGCTCCCTGGTAGCTTTAGGTTCCAGATACTGAGGCCAATTCCTCTTGATTTCTTGCCATCTCTGCGGTCAACTTGGGAATAAATGCATGAAAAATGCTCCAACTTTACTCATTTTCTTGCTTGTGTGAAGTCGTTTTATAAACCCAGAAAAGATAAGTAAGAATCTTAAAGAAGAAGGGAAGAAAATGGAGACTGGTGGAGACATAAAAGGAGAAAATAAATGTGCCCTCTCACCCAGTGAAACCAGCCCAGTGGAAAAGGCCAAGGCAGCAGAAATTACAGGGTCAGTCGTGGCACAAACAGTGCGGAGGGAGACGAGTGTATATTTGCATAGTGCATATGTGAGGTATGTGTGCTTGTGTTTACACAGCAGATTATACAGTAGATATACGACTAAGACTAAATAAGGCTAAATGTAGATCTGATGTATATATACGAACATCAGGGTGTGAGGAGGGGATATGTTACAGTCGTGTTTCCTCTTCTTTCTTTTTTTTTTTTTTTGCCTCCCAGATCTACATCAAAGTGTAAATGTCTCTGGATGCTGTTGTGTGTTTGTCTGAGCCCCACGTGTCCCGTGTGACAGTGCGTCTCGTTGTCTCCGTCGGGTCATCGTGATGTCTGGCTCGCAAGAATCCAGCGTCTCTCTTCTCTAAATATAAACCAACCTAATTAGCCACCCTCACTGCCTCCTCTGTTGAACGCCGCTTAATTTAATATGATCTTCACATTTTCAAACAGAGCCCAGCATTCTCATGGTGCACACTGTTTTCCTTTCTGCACAAGGATCTCCTGTGTTTTGGGAAAGAAGTGGGGAAGAAGCTACTGTTTGGCCCTGACACTTCGCTGCATTCCCGCTGCACACACACACACATGCTCACCTCTCCTGTGTTCTCGCACTGCCGCTCATATGTCATCATTAAGGAATGTTGACTAAAAATAGAGTGAAATGTTTTCTTGCCTCCTGTTGTTTTAAACTATTTAAAGAAGTTAATGGTCTTTTTAAAGACCTCCTTGAGTGAAAATCTATTTTTTCACTTGTTTACATGTCCGTATGGTGTTTTCTAAATGCCAGACAATACACCCAGAGCCAACTAAGCAGGCAATGCCATAGCTGAGAGTTTTCACCTTGAAACTGAAGTTTACTGATAACAAAAACACAGATTCAGACGTCTTGGGTTTCATATCTAACAAAGCCAAAGAAACAATCCTGTCAACTTGCAGGATGAAGTCAATATTCTTCAGAAACAGTCCAACATTTATGGCTGAATTAGTCCAGTATTACAACTTTCTACATTGTGGAGCGTACAGCGGTTTAAAGGCCAATTCGTGACTATGATGTCCGGATGTTTGCAAGCTCATGCAATGTAAATTTGATCATTTATGCAAATCTGTGAGGGTCCACGGCAATTGATCGGCAGACATCTGCATGCAGCCCCCTGCAAAAACGGCAACACAGGTGCAAAAAAAAAAAATAATGTGCAAGGAGATTTTCCATCATCCACACCTTCATGAAGCATCTTTTAAAGAGTTGCAATTCAAGTAGTCACTACAGGACTTTGAACGTGCTTTGGCTGTTACATGCTTTCCATCCACTGTGCCTAAACTAAAGCAGGAAGCACTAAATTCTCCAGAAGTCCTGTGCTACGTTGGCCTTGATTATGTTTGGCGCTCCTCAGAAATAATCATTTATTCAGTTCTGTAGCTTAATCAGCTGTTAGATTCTTTAAAAAAAAAAACTTTTAAGAAACATCCACAGAAACCTTTTGGATGTTTCTGTGTTTGATATGAAGGGCAATGCGACTGACTGACACATGTATGGTAGTGTGAATACAACCACAAGTACATCTTCGATTACTTTCAAAATCTGCATCAGTCATACAGAAAACATGAATTGTTGACTTTTATTCCTCTTCAGAATCAATATGTTGCAATGTTTTCGTATTTTACTACATCAGTGTGCTTGATTTATTTTTATTTTTATTTTTAATCCTTTGTGCTGTGGTTGCTGTTTTTGTCCTTTTATGTATTTGGTGTTTTGTCCACTTGGTTTTATCCACTATAGTTTAGTGTCAGCTTTGTGTGGCACCTTGAAATTTTGTTTTAGGAAAGTACTATAAGAACAGGAACAATAGGCCCTGCTTGCTGCAGCAAGTAGGGGTCCTCGGACCCTAATAAAGTTAGTAGTAGTAGAAACTGTCAAAAAGGCAGATTCAGACTTCCTGGGTTTCATACATCACAAACCTAAGCAGCCAATCCTGTCAACTTGCAGAGTGGAACTTTCTGCATCATTTTTTGTCTTCGGTATCCAGTTCACTTGTGCTGTACGGCTGAAATGCTTCAGTTGTACAATTTGCCATTTTGTAGCACAGAGTAGTTTCACAGTGTTTGATCAGAGCTGCAGGTGAGCTGGTGTGCTTGAGCTGCAGGCGAGTGGCAGAAAACAGGTAGAGAGAAAAGCATGGACTTCAAAGAAAAGAAAACAGCAACGAAGAGTTAAATCGAAACCATTTTATAGCACAGGACAAACTTCCAAACATGTGACTTTAATGCAGTTTTTATGGTTTAAATCAGCAAATCTTTTGTAAGCTTCTTTTGAGATTCTGTTTTTTAAGGATGACATATGTGTCCTCTGCAACAGGAGGATGTCCCACATCTGTCAGGGGTTTGTAAGAACCAGTTAAAGGATTGGTCATTCCCCTGACAATATTTAAGGGGAATGCCATTGTAGTGAGTGACCTGAGCCACCAATCCTATGCTGATGTCTTCCTTTCTTTCTCCTTTTGAAAAGCGGCAGAATAAGCTGAAACCCTAGTCCATTTGTATTGTCGGGACAAAGAGGGACCATTGTGGCAAGAGCGGTAGAGGGGAGCTGCCGGTGGAGGTAGGGGTGCAAAGGGTCATGGAGGGGGAGCTTGGTCAGGGTGCGATGCCTGCTGAGTGGAGGGGAGGGGGGGGGAGTGTTTCCAGGTAGTTTGTGTTGTGTAGGATGAGCCTGAAGTTGCAGCGGTGTGCATTTATCCAGCTGGAAGAGGCTTCGGTGGCAGTAGCAACAGCAGCAGCAGCAGGGCGGGGGTGTGTTGTGGAGGAAGGGAGGGTGAAGCGACGGGGAAGCCAGCGCTGGGCTGCTCTCTCACGCTCTGGAGTTTAGTCTGCTCCAGCTGCCGACACCACAGCAACTGAAAAAAAAGTAGAGCCAGAGGGGGAGAGAAATGCTGCCGGACCTGTTGATATCACAGCAATGACTTACAACACTCGCGGCGTGGATTACAGATTCTGCCACTCGGAGTTGGTGACACGGGATTTGAAGTTTTGGATTTTCTCTGTTGCTTAAATGCTGTCGCTGGGCAAAATGCACTCCAGAGCAAAATCCCGGAGTTGTGACAACTACCTGAGTATTAAGGTATGAAACGTGCCTTTATTTGCTGCTTCTTTTTGTGCACTTTTGCATGTGTTTTAACTTTGTGGTCTGTGTTGTTGCTCATTGCTGGGATGGATGTTTTTCATGACACGGCTCACAGGCAGCTGATATGTTGGCGTCCTGCTCTGTAGCCAAAACACAACATGTAACTTTTTACACATGCACTGTGTGAGAGAGGAGGAAGCACAACGTGAATGCTGATGTTGGATTATGTATGATTTTGCTCCTTACGTACACATATGACTTGCTTTTCATAAAATTCAACCAGCGAATTGAGAAAACGTCGGCATTTTCAGCAAACTTTTGCCGGCTGCTTACGGATATTTGCTCGTTTGTAGTGATTTGTTCACTTTGAAGGGAAATGTGAGTGTCGCTGCCTCTCAGTACGTTCAGTTACAGCTCCACAGTGATCAAACACAAAGTGCAGTCTTTCTAGTTGAGCTAAAGACTAGATTTGGAGACCAGAACTCCTGAGCAGCATTGAATCTTGTAATTATTTCATTATTAGGGTGAGACGTCAACATAATTCTGCATTTATCTCAGCAGAAGAAGAGAAATTTGACAAATAGACTTTTGCGAAATACACAAGTTTGCATGCTCCCTGATATGTTATCAACCTCCCTCTTGTTTTGGAATGCATCCCGCTCTATATTTACCCCGCGGAGGCATCAACACACTTTGTCAGTCTCCTTTTGTCTCTGCTCATCACTGCTCTGATTGGCTGGAGGACCTCCATTCACTTTTTGTCTTCTTTTGTTGGGCTTTTCCTTTATCCGAAGGCATAATCGAAAAATGTGTGTGTGTGTTTTTATACGTTCGCGTGGAGGGTCAGCGGGTTCTGTCGGTGGGGAACAACATCCCGTCGGTGCTGTTTACATCCTGCAGGACAAAGTCATTAGTTGACTTCTGATCACGTAAATCAAGTCTTTCTCAATATCACAGTGGGGAAACTGGGCTGCTGGTGTTTCCTTTTGGATTTTTCCACTATTACCGCAGCCCTGTCCTTTTAGCTTTTTTGACATTTTAAGGTGCTTTAACCTGAGGATTCGCAGAAAAGTTGCTGTAAATGCACAGGAATGCACATGCAAATTGAAGTAGAGTTCTAAAATACTACCTTGTTGCTGTTTGACATGTGGGTGGCCCAGTTTATCACCTCACCTCCACAATAATTCCACCTCTGTCGGGGTCAAAGTTTATCTGCTGAGATAACATGACAACATTTACAACAAGTGTCTTTTTACGATGCCGCATTACCCTATCATCCACTGAAGAGCTGTGCAGCGCTACATGCAGAGCCGTTGTGTCCGTGTGTTGTTAAGCCCACTTGTTAAGAGACACTTGTGTCGATCTAAGAGGGGGTCTTTGTCTGCCGATATTACCTCACTGGCTGCTTGAAATATCTAATAAGGGTTAAGGTTGCTCTTAAATACAGCGTGCACCTTTTTGTTCGGGCCCCTCTTCTCACCTCTCATGAGATTGGATTTCCATTAGCACAGATCAAAAGCTGAATCAAACTGCGAGGCTCAATGGGGAGGTCTCGCTAGGCTCTTTTGTTTGGTGTTCTGGCACCTGGCAGGTCTGAGCAACCTGCAGCCCTTTTGTCATCCCCGCTGCCTTTGAGGCTGTTAGCAGGTTGGTTAGCGAGCGGCCTGTATGGGGGCTCCAGGGCTCTCCTGTTACACTCCCCTGGTGGCTTCATGCTCCACTGGAGGCCTGGTAGGCAGCGTCTTTTGTGTCCCTGACCCACTAAATGTGTCAGTGACCACCTCGTGTTCACTCTCTCACTTTTTCTTTCTCTGTGATGCACTCTTTTTCCCCCTCAGGCTTTGGCTTTAAAGGGTGCTGGGGTTTTAGATTTTGCAGCAAACGCAACATTTGTCCAGGATGTGTTTGGTGGCTTTAGTCAAATCAACTTAAAAAAAAAGCTCCAGAGAATGTTCCTGTGACCTCTTAACCTGGGCTTAACTAGAGAAAAAAAAATCCTCTCTGTTTGCTTGTTTTACCGAGAGACATCATTTAGCCTACTTACTCACCTCTTGAACAGCTGTTTTACCGACTGCACGGACAAAAGTGTCCCACCTGGAGCTTAAAGCCAATAATTACCACCATCCCACAGGCTCACAAAGAGCCGGCATCGGAGCGGGTGGGACTTCCCAATTCGCTCCTGTTCCTGGCTGAAGCTCTGAAGCTACACAACTATACACACTGCATTCCTGTGTGGCTCAGAGCGGATGGGAAGCTCTGCTCTGGTGGCTTCAGCTCCGTCGTTCCGCTGAGACACGCAAATATGTCTCGCACCTGACACTTGGTGAAAAGCAAATTCTTCACGACAAAGCTGGACACACTTCATATTATGTAAGATATTATCTACGTGGGTGATGATGTAATGCACATTTGTCACTACTATTGAATGTAAATATTACTCCATTGTTGAGTTCTTGTGTTCACGTTGTAGCAGTAGATTACACAAAAAGCCACTCCCTCTGCAACGTGGTGACTCGCCTTTTGAAATGTAATTGAGCTCAAATCTCTGCTACGTTGACTGATTGTTCTTCAAAACTCTGCTCCTGTCACTGTTCTGTTTTTTTTCTGCCTTGGGAACCTGAAGAGAAACTCGCCGGCCTGTCCTGCACGAGGGCTTTCCTCCCATTGTTTGCTTTCCTCCAATAAAACACCATGTTATTCTTCTCCTCCTGGGTGCAACAGTGACTAATGCCCAGAGACATTTTTTTTTCTGTGTCTCACTAAAAGCAACGCTGACTGCTAATGGAAGTGGGTGTTTTGTTTCAGGGCACCAACACTGTACGGCACATACCACTTAGAGAGGCGGAGTGCACAATGAGCGCCTTGTAGCAGAGTCGTGGCATGTGTACGAATGCGCTGAACTGTGCTCGCTCTCCTCTAATTGATGGTGCTGAGCTGCTTAGATCGGATCCTACAAAAGGGTGAAACATGGGCTGTCTGACAGGCAAAATTCAACCAAGTACAGTGATTTCTAGGTTTCTTTATGTGCTTTTTGTTCTCATGTAAATGCGGTAAAGACCTATATGTGAGGGTAACAAAACAGCGGAGGAGCTGTGCCGTTAAACCCCGCGTTCCTCGCCGTCCTACACAGTTGTTATAGTGTGAGACTTTGCTCTTTATGCCTTATCGTTGGAGGCAGATGTCTCTATTCCACTGCTGTGTTCCATTCAGGAAGGGCAGATAGCGGACTGATGTTTGGCCTTGGCTCTGACTGGATGGAGGAAGGTCGAAGCCCGAACCGCGAGCATAATGACCACCTCAGGTCAGCCTCTGTAATCCCGAGTGTCCCGTGTCATCAGCAGACAAGTTGTAGTTAACAGTGTCGGACATGTCATCTGTGCTGCTGGGAACAGCTGGTGGTGGCTCCGATCACACAGAGGTCAGATAATACTCTGTAGATGACACGCTTTGTTATTAGAGGCTAACGTTCCAACGTCCAGTCCAGTCTGGACTTTCCAGTTTGGCTGTTTGCGTCCGCTGACGTCACTCCGACCAGGTGTTTCCCCTCGTTGGGATGTTCCCTGTTCAAACTTCCTGACTGTCCAGCTAAGTGGGATCACGCAGAGTCAATCATGTGTTTATCTGCCAGTAATTGTTGCCTTGTTATTTGATCACAGTTGCGCAACATTTGATGGATTGCATTACAAACTGTTACCAACCTGAGATTCCTAGAAAAATCTGAGGGTATTGCTTGTGATTATCTGTCATTTAAAAAAAGAAGGATTAAAATCAATCAGTTTAAAAATGTGTTACTTTGGCTCTGATGCAGCTGCCTCCCTCTATCAGTATTAAACAATGTCCGGCTAACAGTGTTATCTAATTACTTACACATCACAAGTAAAAGCCAATCAACTCATGGATGAATGTTAAAGAGTCTTCTTTTAATTAAATATTTAAAACAATAATGAAAAAAGGCATTTCAACAAAGTTTTGTGTTGGAGTAGGGGTTTTTCTAAACTTTGACATTACAATATTCAATTTTACTGCAGATATCAGTTATTGGTCTCATTGATTATTGTTAAACACTATCAGTCCTGGTAAAACATCAGCTCGTTGTAAGAAAATTTTAGCTTTTCTCTTGTTTGTGCTTCTTTTTCCTTGTGAAGTTTTGGATATGTTGTACAACTCAAATCCTTTTAAATAAAACTCTCTGAGAGGGGAAAATCTCTCATTAGTTAACCTGCTCATGCTTCACTTTAAATTGTCAGAAAAGTGCAAAAAGGGTTGAAACAAACTCAGTTGGATTGTTGCTTTTAATCAGTTGTCCCAAAAGAGTGAAAGTTTAATATAAAGAACAAATTTCAAGCCAAAAATGTTGGAAACCACTGGTCTAGTTTCAAATCTGTATATATATATCTTAGAAAAATTGCGATGAACCATTGCTGTTAAGCCTGCTTTTTTATTGTTGCACAGTTTAGCTAATAGAACGTGATTTTTTTTTTCACCTTCAGGACGCTGAGTCTTTGGACAACTGCATCCAGAGCACCTTGTCTGCACTGTACCGTCCCTTCAGTGCCACTGCTGCCACCGTCCTCTGGCAGCTCTTCAGCGTGGTGGAGCGGCAGTATCGTGGAGACGGACTCCGCTGCCTCATCGACTTCCTGCTTCCTGCCAAGAGGATCCTACAGGTCATCCAAAAAGAAACCTGCGTGAGTGCTTTGATAGACATTGTTACCTGAGGTTAAACTGAGGAATGCCTTCTGTGATTTATTTCGGCATTTTTTTGCAGCACAACTCAGCGAGAGATTTACCGGGTACTAACCTGAGTGATTTCCTGCAGCACTGTTAGGGGGATGCTTAACCCTCTGAACTCCAAAACCCACCAGCAGTTTTGAAATTGGAGTTTAAATTACACCAATCGTCGGAGCCAGAAACAATAAAAATGGGAAGAATCGCCAGGTTTTCAGCTTTCACATGGCTCCTGTGACATGCATAAAATTGTGATATTGCATCAAAATCTTTTTTTTTTTTCTTCTACATGTCTCATTTAAGAATTCACCAAAAATAGGACATTTTGCCCTCACCAGATTGTGCAAAAAAACCCTAAAAATTCTGAGCTTGTCAACGCATTCGCGGAATCAGCTGCAACCAACAGTCCCTTGACACAAATTCAGAGACTTTTCCACTGAACTGCAGAGAAAAGACAAGTATTTCAACAAATTTCACCAATAGGGGAACAAATTAAACTACACCTGACCAATAAAATACATGCAGCATGGCTCAAAAACCAGAAGATGCCAGCAAGCTGTTGCAAGATGCATTCAGCACGGTGAAACATCTTTGTGGAATTGATGTGCAGAGCAGTGCGAAGAAAAGGCAAAAATGTAAAAAGTAAAATGTCTACAGCATGTGGTGCCGCTTTTTTTTCCATTAGTGGTGAGCACTTGGTAAAATGTTACACGTTGATTGCAGGTTTTTCCAGTTTTTGGAAAATAAATAATCAAAGAAATGGATTTATTGCACTATGTCATACTGTACTTCTAGTCATGGTTGTGTTGTTTCCATGGAAGTGCAGGACTTTATATTGCAGTGAAAAATTAATCTACAGTGAGCAAATCAAACCTCCCAGAAACTGCTCAGGGTACAGAGGGTTGAATCAGAATTATTTCATTTCTATATATGTAGAATATGAAATGTAAATAAAGGTGCGCAAGAAGGAGAAAAAATGCACTAAGCACATGTTTGCATCACTGTCAGGACATGTTATCTAATTTACTGAAGTGTTTGTGACACAAGAATGCGCCGAGAACAGTACTGCTGAGTGTGAATATTTTCGCCGAGTGGGAAAAGCGACACTGAGACAGAGTTGATTATTGTTCTTGAAAAACAAGCTGAAAAGCAGCGAAACAAGAGGGAAACTGTGGTCCGCTTGAGAGGCTGCCTCGGACTCTTGGGTCCAAAGTGAAACTCAATATTCTCCCTCACAAGCTTTGATTGCTGTGGGTTGGAGCTCTACGACCAAAGCACTGAAACTTTATTCCTCTGCATTCATCTCGCTGGTGATTACACTGTGACGATAGCCACAGAGCAATAGTTTCACCTAAGCCTAGCCCCTGAGAACAGCTCGCTGTGCATGAGAGCCTTTGTATTGCAGGCAATATGAGAGGCTTCAGAGGAAGATCACATCCTCGGTCTTCCCCTTGACATTCATAAGAGATGAAAAAAAGCCAACCCTTGAGCGCCGCGTCTTTGCTGGTGTGTTTTCTGTGCGGAGATTTGTGCTGCGGTTGCTTCGAAACCAGGCCTGATCAGACAGGTTTTTGTAGCGGAATGATCGCTGACAGTGATTCATCTATGAAAACAGCTCGCCTCTCCATTACAGCTAAACATGTGTTTGAACACAGCTTTGCAGATGTCAGTTGAAAATGACGCAACTGAGCCGAGTCATGACACACACACACACACACACCAATGATAACAATTCTCTGTTTTCTCTCAGGTGAGGTTCAGAGGCTTGCTGTTCTATCATGAGGGGTGGCCTCTCTGCATCCACGAGAAAGTCGTCCTGCAGCTCGCCCCTCTGCACAAGGTTCGACTAAAGCAAGGAGACTTCTACCTACAAGTCGTCCCTTTGGGCCGCAAGGCTGCCAAGCTCGTGATAAAATGTTTGTCGGCCAGTGGGCAGGCCATCGCCGAAATCCCCATCTCAGAGAGCATGTATGGCAGCGTCTTCACAGCTGAGTTCCTGCAGAATGTAACGCGCGACCGGAACCTGCACCCGCTACAGAACTGCCTGCTCACCACCGGTACGGCCGTGTACAGGACGCCGTGGAAGAACGTGGTCAACCCGCTCTTTGTCAGCAGCACGGCGGACGCCATCATGCAAGCGCGCTGCAGCAGAGGCGGCTTCAGAGGCCACCTCAGCACCTGCAGCACCAGCGGATCCACGGGGACGCTGGACAGCCACCGCAGCTCCAGGGAGTCGCTGCACTCCCAGGGAGCCGACTCCATCTTCTCCGAGCCCACCTCCCCGAACAGAAACCACACGGACTCCAGCAGCGAGAGCCACGGAGCTGATCCCGCTGCACCCGTCATCAAAATCGAAAGACCTGCCGAAGAGTGCGGCGTGGGACGGGAGAGCGAGGACAGCGGTGGACGGGACAGAGCGTCCAAGATGCTCTCTTTCACCACAGACCTCAGTAACCCCGGTCCTCGACGCCGCCTCCCAAGAGACTCTGTGGCCTTCGAGAGCAGGAGACTTTTCAGGAAATCCTACATGGAGGCCCTGCAGAACCCGATGAGCCTCGGTTCCAGCTCTGAGTCCATCCTGGAGGAAAGCCCTGAGCACAGCACCGGCCTACGAGAGGCAGCGGTGACTCCGGGCAGCAGCCCCGACACCAGGACGTCTCCCAGGGAACACTTGTCTCGGAGGTTTGGTAGCCGGGGCTGGCTCAGCGGCGACGACTCCAGGCCCAGCACGCCTCTGCTTTACTTCCAGAGGGGCTTACGGAGCGCGGAGAGGCGGGCAGAAAGGAGGTCCAAGTCGCTGGAGAGGACTAACAAGGCAGGACAGGTCAAAGGCCACAGAGAACGCTCGTCGTCTGGAGGATCTGCCAGCATCTCCCCCAAAAAGCTAATAAACGGTTACGCTCTTCGCTTCGGGAAGCTGGATGTGGAGGCAGCATTTCCTGGTACTGAGAGGAGAAGCAGCAAAGAGGAGACAGGTATGCAGCTATTTAGATATCGTAATCCCACAAGACAGCATTATACATTTCTGCTGGAGGTCTCTTCACCAATATGCTTGATTGTGTGGAATCATAGGATCTTAACATTAACTTTTAAATTAAAGTAATAAAGTACAGGTAAAGCATATAGTATTGTAGCTTTTTATTTAATTTATTCAGATACATTTATTTGATGTTATACTATCGGTTTTTAACCCTACTTTTTAATTTAATGAGGCAGATTTGCATTATATATAATACTTTAGAGTCTTAACTGCAATATTGAAATTGGTCGTTAAAGTTAACATCCATCCATCCATCCATTATCTGTACACCGCTTAATCCTCACTAGGGTCATGGGGGGCTGGAGTCTATCCCAGCTGACTGAGGGCGAAGGCAGGGGACACCCTGGACAGGTCACCAGTCAGGTCTTAACAGTAATATTTAAATTAGTCACGTAAGCTAGTGTTTCATATAATGTTGTAGGGTCTTAACCGTTTCTTAAAATTTAGTTAGATAAATTTGCATCTTATTTTAAATAATATTTTAGGTGTTAACTTTAATATTTAAATCAGTCAGATAAATTTGCATAGTTGATTGATGTAAATGTGTATTATATGATATTGTGGGTCCTGTCAGGTAAATTTACATTTTAGATGTTATTGTCGGATCTTACTGTAATATTTAATCGATTCAGGTTCATTTGTATTATATTTTGTATTGTAGGTTGTTAACGTGAGTATTTAAATTAGCCAAGAACATTTGTGTAATTTGTATTATTGTGGGGTTTTGATAATTAATGTAGTTGTGTAAAATTGTATTTTATATACTTTAGTTCCTTAACCTTAATATTGGCTAGTTAACTATAACTATAACCCAAATTAGGCCATTTTACACAAATACCTAAAATGCATTTTTCTTCTAATACATTTGTGCATTTACCAATGTAAACTAGAAAAAAAACAAAACACAATACTATACAGTGGGTGACGTGTTTCGTCATTACCATCTCACTGTGGATTTCTGTGAATTCAACCCACGTGTACTGAGCTGCTGTTGTAAATACTAATTAATGTTGCAAAATGTGTTTTAGTTCAAGCCTGAGACAGAGTTTTGTTTGCTAAAAACTACACGCCCATGTGCTTTTTAGGAAATTGCATAAAGCTTTCCAAAATATAAAACTGCGTATTTATGATTTCCATGTAGTAATATGCCACACAGTCGACAAGCGTGGCTTATTTCAGTAATAGTTGAATCATCGTGACAGCCAGTGACTCATCGTTTATCACTTATTAGATATTGTAACCTGAGGCTGGGAAAATGCTCGATGGTGTTTTTTTTTCACCTGGTGTTGCAACAGTGCCCTGCAGCAGGACTGGTTCCAACAGTTCATCAGATGGATGGAGCGCATGACGCTGAAGCATTTAGTGCTGTGATTGGTGACAGATTGCCTTTTTTCAAAGCCCATGCTGTGTGTTCTTTGGCACGTTCAGGGGACAGGTACGGACCTACCCTGGAAACACAACTTTAGTCACATCCCTGTGTTTTCTTTGCCGCTGTCAGGACTGTTTTGTTTAGTGTTGGTCTGCAGCGGCTTGTGCAGGAAACTGAGAGAGTCCCACCGAGGGAATCATGCTGTTTTTAGAAAGCCAGTTCTTCCGTGAATTCAAACGTGTGGTGATTTAGTTTGGTTAACTCTCCCAAATCTTAACGTTGGACGGTGCCAGAGCATAGCTGTGAATGTAAATGTGTTGAATACGCGCCACTCAGCAAAAATACAGTAGTTAAATCACATGGCTGTTGTGAGATTACCTCAGAGGGGATTGCATTTCAGCTTTTTGCAAAGCAGGTTTCTCACAACGACATTTCAAAGGCAACAAAGGATCCTGTAAACCCTGTAAACCGACCACAGGGACCCCAGCGTCCCACAATGAGATGACCCTGCAGTGTTGCTGGGGCTGGGGGCTGCACTGATCCCAGACGGGTTGCCTCATTTACAAAAGTTTCCTTTGTGAACCGATCAGCCACTGGGGATCCATGAGAAAAAAAAGTCTTTCAAACTGCGCCTGTGTCTTTGCAGAGTCCATTAACTCCAGAAACACGAGACGCAACATGCACTGACTCAAACTGCTCCGACAAAAAAATTCTCAGGAAGGGCTGAATTACTCACGATACGAAGCAGCAAACAGCAGCAATACCAAAACACATCCTGTGTTGCACATATGTGGCCGGTGCATCAAATCCCCAGCGAGCGCCGCTGCTGATTTGGCCTCTTCGGTGGCTTAAAAAACGGGGCCGGCAGAGAAAAAAACTGACTTTGACACGGGACAATACTCAGGAGGCTTTACTCAACGTTTGCTCGCTTCCTCTGAAAACAAAGCATTTTAGGAAACATGCAGCAAACACAAGCCTGGTCACAGAGTCGCACAGGAAATGCACTAACTGTTTGAAGACAATAGAGGCTGAGCTGGGTGGGTTTACTGTCACAGAACAGAGCAGGACAATGCAAGAGGCCTCAAACTGTGTAAAAAGACGAAACACAACAGGCGTCCATCTAACAAGGATAAATAATTACAGATCTGCCCACAGAGGTGGTTCAACAGTAGTTTTATTTTATGTTTTAGGCTGTTGGAACAGCTGTTTTATACCCTATTTTTAAATGGTGTTTTCAGGTATTTTGTAAAATGTTTGTATAAACTTTTGACTTAGCCTGACTCTGAGACATATATTTGAAAATGCTCATGTATTTTTGGAGTATATCTGCATCCATTTGTAAACAGAAGTTGACATACACTTGTAAAAACCGTGCATATCAGGCAGTGTTGAGTTTCCAGTGACTCCAGCAACTCTTTGTTTTTTTATGGTGTAATGACTGAAGTTCATGCATCTTTGTCACAAAAAAGAATCCTGCATTTTCATAAATTTATCATAGGTCTTCTTCTATATTACAGCATTGCTAATATTTGGTATTTATATTTAAATTGGCTCAGAGGAGTCGGCAACTGGAGTCAAAATGCAATCACTTATGAGAAGCTAAGAGGCCAAGGCACCAAGAAAATTTTAATTATTTAATTTTTACGTCACCAAAATTGATCATTTAAGTTGTATATTTTTGGCACAGAAGATTTAAAAGTATTCTGCCCCGGGAACAACATTCCCACGGTCAAACACTTTGGTGGGAATGTGATGATTTCAGAGTGTTTTTTTCAGGCAACCTTGTCAATGCAACAGCATCATGAGAAAAGAGGAGCACAGTAAGATTGTGGAGGAAAACATCTGTCTGCAGAAAAAAAAATAGTCCTTGGGCAGCATTGGAGTTTCCAGCAAGACAATGATGTGAAACATGCAGCCAAAGTGGTGAAGAGAAAACAATATGAAGATGCTGGAGCGGCCCAGCCAGAGTCCAGACCTGAATCTATCCATGATGTTGATTACTGAGAGAGAATAGCAATAATTTTTGTGAAATTAAGATCTCTCACACAATTTCTTTCTGTCTTTTGACACTTGTTTATGTTATTTCCAGCAAGACGAAGCCTATTGGTCAAATAAAAATTGGCTTCTGTGAAAATTTCTCATGGGTATGAAGAATTTTGGGGCTTAACTGTATTCTATGTGAATGCTTGCACGCTGTAGGATCAGGATTGAGTCCATAAATTGTGGTGCTGCTTGGGAATGTCTGGCATATCATTCCTGTAAACACAGCCTGGAGGTATGCAGGACTGAATAGGAGGAGGTGCTGATACGAGAGTGTAATAACAGCAGAGTTGGTTGTGACTCAGGCTGACTAAACACCTGGACTCAACGGTGACTCAGGGTGAGCTCGCCAACCTTACCGCTAATAAACACTTGCTTGGTGAGGTAAAGGTAAGAAAGTACAAAGATGAAAGGATGCTTCTATTTTCTATTGATCGTCCTCTATTTTCTAACACTAGCAGCTCAGTAAACATCACTTTAGACAACCTTGCTCACTATTATTATCACATTTATCCCTACAGGCCAGCGTGAGGACGGCATCAGCAGCGAGAGCAGGCGGCACAGAAATAGTGGAGAAGAGCTGCACAGTCCTAAAGCTGCCAATGGGACGGCCATCAGACACGAGTGTAACGCAGTCTTCCCCAAACTGGTGTCAGAGGTCAATCAAGAGCTGCTCACGTCTGGTGCTGTGATCCTGCCAGGTAGGGGACCAGAGATGCCCACTTACCTGCTTTTATTTCCACTCATCAAGTGTAGGAACCTTGAACATGTTGGCCAAAGTCTTTCAGTCGTCCAGCATGTCTGTCGAATGATGCAGAAATGTCGGAAAATGTTATTTGATTTGATTTACATGCACAGTGCACACATGGGCAACAGAAATGAGCTGTCATTAGACCTTTCCTTGTTTCCGCTTTGTTAAATCTGTAAGAAAATATCTTTAAAATCAACTTCTTTTCTCACATAATTTATGATTTTAGTTGTTAATTTCTGAATAACGCTGTGGTTTCTTGTGCATTCCTTTATAAGCCAATGTTTTTTGCTCCCTTATTTGTAATTAAACACGTAGCTATGAAATTTATTTCCCAAGTAACATTAGTTTCATATTTCATTGATAACAGCTTTGTTTCTGTTGTGGAAGCATAGCGACAGAAATAGTAAAAAAAAACTTGATTTATATAGATAGCACTTTTCATTATAATGTTCAAAAGCACTTGAAGTAAAATCAGAGTGGGCAGATAAAATGAGAATAAGGCCTAGAAACATGTTCACAGAGAATGTAAAAGCAGTAAAGATTAATAACCTCAAATAAAAAAGTACAAATACAAGCATGTTTCAAACTGTTCCAAAAGCTTTCAAGTCTAAAGTTTGAAAGGTATGTTTCTTTAAAAAAAAAAAAAAAAAGACAAAAAAACTACACCATTTATCAGTGCCAAAAACTGTAAAAACCTTTCTGAAGGTCCTTGAACGCACCATTTGTGACACGATTCCATCTGGAGAAGAAAAAAAAAAACAATACGACAAGTTTGAAACTGTGACATTTCAACAAAACCACTTTATTCTACACGTATACGTTTAAAGTCGCCCCAAAATAACCCTTGGCAGCAATCAGAAATTCTGCAGCTTTTCAGTTGAACTGCAGACAGTGTTCACACAGACTAAAGAACAGATTACAGAGGAAACAAGAGCAAAATACAACATACCTGATCAATAAAATAAATGCAGACTGGCTTAAAAAAAAAACAGCACGAAGAGGAGCAAGTTGTAGATCAATACATTCAGCATAGTGAAACATCTCTCTAGAGCTGATAGTGCAGAGTAGTGTGGAAACTAGTGAGTCTGTAGAGGTTGTAAAAATAGAAATAGTTAAATATGTAAAGCATGTGGAGCCCTGATTTATTTATTTTTCCCTACAGCACTGGGCCCTCTGAAAAATGTTGTACAAGTTGATTCTAGGTTTTTTCAGAAATATATTTATGATTCAACTTTAATTTTTTTTTTATGATTTGTGGCATTTTACCTTTGTTATACTCCACAAAATACACTTTTAAATTCTTCCTCTGATAACTGAGTCAAGTGTGCTGCAATAATCAAGGCGAGAATAATTAAAAGTGACTTTTAAGGAATATATTTTAGAGATAATCTTGAGCTGAAAGAAACAAGACTGAACAACATTTTTGGCACATTAACCTCAAGATTCCCGGCAGCCTGCTTCGTATGAAGCATTGACCCCCCCTGCCTTCGCCTCTTCCAGGTAACCGAGACCGCGGTGGGAGAGCAGTGCTGCAGGTGTGCACGAGAGCTCAGGTGTGGGCAGGTGAGACCTGCACGGTCAGTGACCTGACCTGTTTACTGGGCTACTACTACTCAACTCTGCGGTAAGTCACACAAACGCACTCGGGTGGATTTCATGTGGGATTTTTCCAGCGTTGTTCGCACTGCAGCTGTTATTTAGGGCTTATAGAAAAAATGAAGAAGTCATTTTAAATATAGAGCAATGTCGGTGAACTGGGAAAGGTCTCACAGGCTCCATCTAGAAGGCATATTTGTTCATGATTAGATTGCTAATTATACATCACAGTGCTTTTGTAAGGCAGTGTAAGACCTTTGTGTACTGTAGCTGTACAAAATGCATTCATGTTGGACTTAAAATGGACTTAAAATGTCTGTAAATCCTTTAAACTTTAAATAAACTACTGTGTTTTTCTCATGTATTAGAGGCAGTGCCGATTGCATGCAATCAGGTGTTTGACAAAGGCAGCAGACTAACTGTAATGCTCTGGTTTTAGGAAAGAAAGGCGTGATCAAGGTCTCACTGTTGTAATAGACAGCAGAAGGCAGCAGCCTGTTCCAGCTCTGTTGTCATCTCTGTCTGAATTTCAGGTGAGCCCACAGTGGAAAATATGTAATTACCCTCCAACACGCCCAGAGAGCTCTCAGGCCTGAGATAAACTCTGGAGTTGTAATTCTACGTCTACCCTTACCAAAGTTATTATATCATGTCACCCCCTCACACATTTCCTATTGTTGTGCCTCTCGGTCTTTTGACACACTTTGGCTCTTTCTTTCGAAGAGGCACACCTTAAATTTGTAGCGACTGCACTTCCAAGACATTTTTGTGAAAAAGTCCAGCCTCAGGCCTCCTGTGGGGAAGCCTGTCCTTACTTGTCTGTTTTTAACCACACGCTGGCAGCAGGTTCGGTCTGCAGCCGACTCGCAAGAGACGTATCATCATGTTGTGATAATGAGTTTCTCCCTGATGTAAGGATGATAAATCTGTAAACCGTACATCATTTTAAACGCCAGTGTATCAGAAATCTACACGCGCTCTTTTTAAGTGTCGTCTTTGTTTTAAGTGCTTGTGCTTGTTTTTCTCAGGCTTTAGTACCAAATGCACTTTACTCAGCTCTGTTCCTGGCGGACAAAGAGGCAGCAGCCAAACCCGAGAGAGACATCAACGTACAGGTAAAAACACACCTTTTATCTTCACATGGATTGAAGGTATTTCCAGTTTTTCATGTTGCTGAATGCTACACCTAAGATAAGGGATTTGCAAGCATTCAGATTAAACAAGATGCCGGTTAATTCTTATCTAATCTCCTCGCTACAAGCCGTGATGACAGAGATTGGGGGGATGAGCAGGGAATCGGCCTGCGGGTAGTTAAAGTAACCGTAGAGACACATTTTAACTGCGTGTTTGTTTATGTTTTTTTCCCGTTTCTCGGCGCAGACTGAGACGCTGTCATCTCTGAAGGCCCTGCTGAAGCACATCGACCAAACCCAGCTCACACGAGAACTGGAGGGCACGTTCCACTACGACCACAACCACTGGATCCACTTCAGACAGGTGGGTGTGACGGAGGTGGAGCGGCTGGACCGGAGCCAGCGCTATCAAACATACCTGTAGAGTCACCTTGGAGCTTGACAAGGGTGGGGATACCTTCGAGAAAATGTGTTGTTTTTAAAGTTTACGTTGCTCAATGCTTCCCAAGAAAAATCTAATTATTCTAATTGCTGCTTTGCATAAGTTACACAGTTCATGATCAGTTCACACATGACAGTGTTACGTAATTCGGAAAAAAAAGTTGTGAAATGAAGTCTCGCTCACGAGGAGTCAAGAGACCACGAACAACATTTGATTACCACAACTGGTAATCCAAGTTGATGTATGTACATTTTTGACCCAGCAGGTCGTGTCATATTTCACATGGCAAATTTATGAAAGAACCAAAATGCCTGGTTGTGTTTTTGTGACAAAGACGCAAGTGTTTGAATGTTTCTAGCAGAGAAAATTGAATTATAGGAGTCACTGGAAAGTCACGACTGCCATGATAGACGTGGTTTTTACAAGTGTACGGGCATTACGTATCACAACTGTAACTTTAAAGACACATAACAAAACAGAATTGGATTACTGGTGCAGTTATTCAGAATGGAATTAGCAGAATTATAGTTTCACAAAACAGGTTCAGGACAATATCATGCAAATGTTTTGGCTCTGGTTATTCAGTGTCCATCTGCCCAAACACCATCAGCATTGCTTCATAAACAGAGAACACAAAAACCACAGTTGCTCTGTTATTTTACATTTATTATTAGAGATTGAGATATCCATAAAATATCTTTACTGTAAAGAAGACAGTCTTCAAAACAGGTCAGATTAATCAGACGAATAATAGTAAATGATTCATGTAGAGTTTTAGACATTTTCACAAACATCCGAGTCACTTCATTGGTTTCTTCCAGTTATAAATCATCCCTGACATGTGGCCAGGATCGATCAGGATCTAATGATAAATCACATTGTTTCACCTCAGGCAGGTGAGCTGTCACACTCACAGTTTTTTAGTTTGTAAGGTGAACTTAAATCATTTGTTACGAATCCTCAGCTGCATCACAGCTGTCGATATATTTCTATTTTTCCATAATTGAATGTGAAATTGGAATAGTTAAAGTGGCTTAAATATGGCTACAAGTGGCCTCAAAACAATAAAAAACACTTTTCATACCACATACATACGTATGTATACATATATATTCAGGCAATTTGGGCTGATTATTATTCATCAAATAGTTTTATTGTATTACGTAACTTAAAGGGTGCATTGTTTTTCCTCAAAAAATACTGGAGCATCTCTTCTGCCTTCATCTCAAGTTGCTGTTAAATTAATTAAAATAAGTGTATTACATACCTTCCAATTAATGCACACGCAAACACATACAGAATAAACTTGAATAAAAGTCATCGTATTGATTTTCTCATGTATTTGTTTGAATATTTGGTATTGTGCTCATCCAAAAGTAACAGACAATACAGTATTTTAATGATGTGATGCTTGAATTGTGTTGCAGACATTATTTTAAACAAGTAATTGTGTCAGGATCTTTAAAATAACCCTCCCACTGTTGCTAATAATCTCATCGATCTCTCTCTCTCTGACAGAAAATCGAACCGTTTGCCAGCAGCTGCAGCGCCGCCATCGCCTCCCTGCAGGAGTCCATCAGCACACTGAGCGCCAGCAGCAACCTGAAGACCTCGAAGGTCAGACTCAAACCCTGCAGGCAGTCTGGCCTTCTGATTTACGTCTCCGCTGACATTTGTTTTGTTTTTTTTTCTTACTGACAAAACGTTTCTGCTGGCCTTTTTCCTCCTTAACCGGAGCAAACAGCTCGGCTTGTTTTATGGCCTTCGTCCTTGATCTTTGTGCAGAAGAGGTCGCTGACCTCAGCAGAATTTTGTTTTTGAGCTTCGGTTTTTGTGTTTAAACACGAAAACCATTAATTTGCTTGTATTTTGTGTTTACTTCAGGAGGTTTCCGAGGTGATCGAGCAGCAGAGGCATCTGATGAAGTGCGTGCTGGATGACACCCGACTAAACAGACTGCGGTTAGAGGGAGGAACCGTACTCGCCAGAATCAGGAAGGAGGAGGCCTGTGACAATGAAAACTACAGGTACAGGGCGGAATATCCATCAGCGGTCGGGAGTAGCATGTGTGATAACCTACTTGAATATATTTCTTTGCTTTTCTCAGGGATGCTGTCGACATGTTGAATGCATTGTACAACCAAGTGGACGAAGAGGTTCATAAGCTTGTGATTCTGTCCAACAAGTCACAGAAACAGCTGGAGAGCCTGCTGGAGGTGCGCAAGTTTGAGGAGCAGACACAGCAGGTGACCTCGAATTTCATCTTCATTTTTTGTTAATCAAGGTTTTATTGAACTCTTTTAACCCTCTGAACCCAAAGCAGTTTCTTGGCATTTGCTCCTGTGGCATTTTTATTCACCGTGGGTTAGTTTTTGACTGTAATATATAGTCTCCTACTTGTCCTGCAGTTCAGCTGAAATGTTACTGAGTTTTTGTCACATGACTGTTGGTCATAACTGAGTTCGTCATGGCTTCCTAGTTGCATTGGCTGGTGCAGAATTTTTATTTTTTTACAGAATCTGGTTACTGTAAGTAGTTTATTTTGGAGAAATTTTTTTAAATGAGACGTGTCGAATTAAGTGGTTTTGATTAAATTTTAGGGTTAGATCTGATTAATTTTTACCAACTGAACTTTGAGTTATACATGATTCATTCAAAGACCATTGGAAAACTGAAAATCCAATAACTCCTTCTTTTTAAACAGTTTCTGGTTCTGATAAAAGATGCACTTTCAGAGATTTTCTTGCGTTTCATACCCACCAGTACGATTAAGGGCTCAGAGGGTTAACGAACAATACCTCAAATAACTGAGTTCACATAAAAAGAACCAAAACGGCATCAACGGAGCAAAACTACAGCATCATCTCTGCAGAATTCCCAATACAAATGATTTCAAATCTGTTACTGCAGTATCAGTTCATACCTGGAAACAAAAAATAAAGTCCCAAAGCAAAACCCACTTCATATCTAAAGAAACAGGATACCCACATGAAAAAGGCAAAAACACATCTCCAAAAGTATAGTGTTTAACTCCAATTACATATTTTCTCCTTTCATGAAAGGCAAAAACTGATTCCAGACAAGGACATGTGACTCTTTACGGCTGTGCAACTTGGCTTTCATTAACTCGTATGACATGTTCTCTGTCATTATCTTAACCTGTATTCAGGTCTAACTTGGCTTTTCCACTTACGGAGGATAACCCCAGCAGCTAACATAGGGCCTGTCAGGGCTGCAGCAAATGCAGATTTGGAAATTTTGGATGATCTGTTCCCTAGAACCAGAGGGTTGGCTAACATTGCAGAGTTTCTGTCTCCTGTCTGTACAGATCCTCAGCGGCTTTTTTTCATCTCTCTTGACAAAATAATGTACTCACGTAATAAACTTTTTGTTCCAGATCAAACTCTGGTTCAGCGTAGCGGGAGAGAAGCAGCTCACTCCACTGGAATCGATCACTCTGTCTGTAGCCAAAATAAAGGAGATGAAAGAAAGTTTGGAGCAGTTTCTGGAAGAGTCAGTGGTAAATGTTACCACAGTGCAATTCTATGTTAACTTTTAAGTAACCGTGAGAAGACAATCAGCACTAATTCGATGTAACTGTTATCCCGACAGCACCAGCAGAGGCATGGCCTGCAGCTGGTCAAAGAGTCTCCGGAGTCCCTTCCAGGTTCGGTTCTGCTCGACTTTAAACAACATCTGGGTTCCATGTTGAGCAGAGTGGAGCAGAGGAAGGCTAAGCTGGACACCCTGACCAACCTGTATGAGTTCTACGACTCGGTAAGACTCCAAAAGTCATGCCTGTGTGTCCTGTAAAAGGTGATATTACATTTTAGACATGTTCTTTAATCCAGACTACCTTACAAAGAGTTTTACAGAAACACATTTTAAAATAGAGTCTTAAAAGATTGATTCTGAAATTGACTGATTCTTAAAAAAAAAAAAAAAAGTGCAATTCTAGCGATTTATTTTTATTTTTTTAGAACAACCTAACTTTCAGTCCCACTGGCCAGTTTTGGGATTCAGGTAGTTTAATAACACTATTGTTGTTGAACCATATTGTATATCTTGGTCTGAAATAAAATGGTTAAACCACTCTTTCACATCTGCAGGCCAACCAGTGGATGGACCACTGTCAGGATTATTTCCGTCACCTGAGTCTGGACAGCACAGCTGGCAGATTTTCTCCATCCGTGGTGCAGATCCTGCAGGATTATTGCAGCGAGGCTTCCAAGTTCTCCACGGAAAACTTCAGCACGCTCAATGACATGGTGCTCTCGGTGGAGAGTCCTCAGCAGCTGCAGCAGTGGAACTCTGTGTGGCACAAATGTCAACAGACCAAACAGCAGCTGGAAGAGACTTTGGCTCAAGCCATGACGGCAGCACCGAGCTCCGCAGCAGCCGATACGTCGGATCCTTTAAAGACTCCGGAAAGTCAGATTGCGAGTCCAGAGCAGCTTGGAGCCAACGGGTGTGTGCGTTTACCCGGGGCGATCACACCGCTGACTTTTGAGGAGAGCAAGAATGACTCTAATGGGCCTTTCTCCAAGAGCCCATCCAGTTCCATCTCCTCTTCATCACACTTCACGTTCTCCCCCGACTCCGAGAGCAAACTGAGGCAGAGTCCGTCCATGTTCGACGACACGGACAGCGACTGCACCATCGACTCCACCATCTCCTGCCACTCCGAGCCCATCTACTCTGGAACCTCGCGGCTCCGCAAGCAGCCCATGAAGAAGATCATGAAGAAGACCATGAGCTACGAGCTGACCCCGAGAGACAGCGGCCACTCGGATGTCAGCCACGTTCACGGCTACACGGGAGTCTACATTAAAGGTTTGGAGGTGGCCAACAACGTGTCCGCGGAGAAGAAGCTGCAGAGGCCGGACGTGTTGAGCCCCGCGTTGGGCCGCAGTCGCAGCATGTCGACGCCCTCCAGGACCCATAACAGACGCAGTGACGGAGAAGGCAAGAAGCAGAGCAGGTGAAGAAGTGCATCAGTGCTAATTAGCATACACTATGGCTTTATGGGTGTCCACTTTTCAAAAACAACAAGTGTTTCTGCAGCATGTTCACAAAATACTAGAAACCATCTTTTGCATTCAGACAAGCCTTCATACTTGTCAGGCATTCAGAAGATGCACACTTTTCCATTAATCTGACTCACAACGGCAATCTTACTAATGTGGACGTAGTAACATTTCTCTATCACTTTCGATACAAGTCTGAACAGCATGGACTCACATTATTGGATAGGCCTGTACAAGCTAAACACTAAAAGCTGTGTAAACATATTTGAAAACTTTTTTCCCCATATAAGCACCAAAATTGCTCCAAAAACATCACAGAGAGCAAAAGACACAGTTTGCCGCCAAAAACACAACACACTCGTTTACTTTGTTCTATAGTTTCACATCCATTTAAAACTGAAATGTCCATAAATATAAAACTTTACTGCAATAAAAACAGATCCGAACAGGTTAAGGAGACTGACTCAACATTGAATGTGATCCAGGTTTCATCCAACTGATATCAGGAGTTTAGTTTGTTGCTTCCAGCTGTTTTTACGAGTCTTTCCTCTGAGTTTATTAAATACCTGCAGCATCAGACAGCGGTGGCATCAACATGAGCGTCTCCAAAGAAAGAAAGAGGCTTAACTTCATGCAGTGACCAATGTCTGAATGTCAGAATGCTGTTAACAGACCGAAGCAAGAATGTTAGGTATCCCATTTCTTTAAAGGGCTTCTGGAAGCACTTTAAAATCTCTCAAGTCCTTCTCTTGTGGTGTTATTTTGTCTATCCCACATTATAATCTGTCAAAGTTACTGTCATGGACAGTATTTAAAGTCATGTGGAGACTGTGAAACATGGCAGTGACATTTTCCTTCAGTTCAGGATTGAATTGCTTATTCAGCATGACCAAAAAAGCCCAAAATATTCAAGTTAAAACAAAAATAAAATTATTGATTTGAGATGCTGGAATTAGCAGGTGTTAACATTTAATCAATTTATTTATTTTTTTTACTTTTTTCCTGATTACCTGGATTTTTTTTGGGTAGCATTTCATTCATTAAATGAATGTACTGTAAATATAATCCTGATTATTCTTAGTCTTTAACCCTTTTTTGTCTTTCTGTTCACCAGTAAAGTGCAGCACATCATGGATGAAATGATTTCCACAGAGCGGGAGTACGTTCGCTCTCTCAGCTACATCATCGAACACTATTTCCCGGAGATGGAGCGTCTCGACTTGCCTCAGGACCTGCGGGGGAAGCGCAGCATCATTTTCGGGAATGTGGAGAAACTGTGGGACTTCCACAGCCAATATTTCTTGAAGGAGCTGGAGGCGTGCGCCCACTCCCCGCTGTCCATCAGCAGCTGTTTCCTCCGACACGTGAGTCCTCATTGTCAGCTTAACAAACGACTCGGACTGTCGTAGTTTCACTATTAAAATCAAAACCACAGGTAGCTGAAGACGCACCTTTACAACCTCCGGGCAGCTGAATCATTAATGGTGTTTGGCAAAGCATACCGAAAGTGCTGCATACTTTTTGCTGTCGGTAGTGTTGTAACTTGTTAACGTTGTGTGCAGGAGGATCAGTTTGGAATGTATGCCCTGTACAGCAAGAATAAGCCCCAGTCCGACGATCTGCTCTACAGCCACGGGAACGAATTCTTTAAGGTGCGTCTGGATACTCGCGGTTGCATTCCTCACAATGTGACTGATGTCGGGGTAAAGAGAGTGGACACAAAACAGCACCCAAAGCAATTGATATCATAAGGAAACATGCAAACTCTATTAAAATGTGTTCAAAACAGTTCAAGTTCAAGTTCAAAAATCTTTAATATCCCCGTGGGGAAATTTTTGTGCAGCCAGCAATGAGACAGTCACTGCCACAATCACACATGCAACAACAACAACAGAAAACAACAGAGAAAGGACAAGACCGCTCACTTGTTTAACAGGGAAATAGCAGCAGGGACAAAAGAAAATTTATATCTATTGGTCCTGCAAATTGGCAGAACATACCTGTGCCCCAGCGGAAGTAATTGGAACCAGTGGACCAAGGGATGGCTCTGGTCTGTGGCGATTAAACGGGCCTTGGCTAATAATCTGATTTGATGTAGGGCTGTCAAGTTATTTAGGTTCGTCCCTGCTATTTTTCCACACAGCCTCACAATACCTTGTAATCTGTTTTTGTTTTTAACAGGGCTATTCTATCTCAAATGATCAGATACCTTCTGCTCAGCCGTCTCTAAGTTGCTTGAAACTTTTTTTAAAATCACAACATATTGATATTCACAGTGGTATCTGTGAAGTTTACTACTTTTTAATTTTTAAAAAGTTTTTTAATTGCCTGTCAAACTACTTTTAGCAGGTTTTTTCTTTTTTGCACAGTGAAGTTTGAGACTGAACAACAATATCTCAGGAACTATTAGAGATAAAAGCCAGAAATGTTCAGTTATTCTAATCATGTAATTGATTTACAATCAAATCTATATTGGACAAGTAGATCAAATACGCCTTGTTTATAGGTGGGCTGAAATATGGGGGGAAAAAGGTAATGCTGTCATGAAAAGCCCCATCTTTAACCGCAAATTAGCAAAAAACTGATAATGCAGAAGTCAGCTACAGATATTTTCTGAACCATATGTAGCTGCATGTCACAATTACACAAAACAAAACATGTAGAATCACAAAAATACTTTTTAAAAAGGTACAATTGTTGAAGTTTCATGGCTGATTAAAGCAGATATGACAAGTTGTGAAGTAAAATATTGTTAAATAGCCTGATCCACGTAGAACAGAGTTCCAAAATGATGTAGTGATTGAAGATGGAGTGACTCAGCACAGATGCACAAAGATTTAATTGTGCCCTCGATTGATCACAAACAGTAGCATACACATGAGAGTCTGATTTGTTGCTCTGCTGGCAGGTGATTTGGATGAATTAAAAACGACAAATAACCGCTCCTCGCTGCTTCTCTCTCCAGAACAAGCAGATGGAGCTCGGGGACAAGATGGACTTGGCGTCCTACTTGCTGAAGCCCATTCAGAGGATGAGTAAATTTGCGCTGCTGCTCAAAGACCTGATAAAGGAGTGCAGCCAGTCCCAGGAGCAGGAGCTGAGTGACCTCCGCACTGCAGAGGAGATGGTCAAGTTTCAGCTTCGCCATGGCAACGACCTGCTGGCCATGGATGCCATTCGAGGCTGTGATGTAAGTAGTGATGAGCAGGTACAGAGCTTGTGTGTTAAAATGCTCCTCAACTGCATTATAAGACAATCTGGAAGCAGGGAGGTCTTCAAAACTATTTTTGAAATGGAGGTCATGATGTTATATATACAGTAGAGTGAGGTCAGAGTCCCACCAGGGATTGTATTGTTCTCTGTGACGCATGTGAGCGCTCGTGTTTCCTCTCCAGGTGAACCTGAAGGAACAGGGTCAACTCCGCTGCCAGGATGAGTTCATCGTCTGGTGTGGACGCAGGAAATACCTTCGCCACGTCTTCTTGTTTGAGGACCTCATCCTCTTCAGCAAGACCAAGAAGATAGAGGGAGGATACGATATTTACATCTACAAACAGTCCTTCAAAGTAAGAACTGCTTGTTTAACACTGAACCCCCAGTTTCTATTGCTCCTGTCATGTTTTTAGTCACTGTGGGATCATTTTTTTACTGTAATATAAAGTCCTGCACCTCTATGGAAACAGAACAACCATAGCTAGAAGTAGAAAAAACTTTAAAAAGGACTTTAGTGCAGTATGTTCCAGATATGTTGACATAAATCATAAAGAAATATTAAAATTGCATTTCTTAGATTTTTTTATGTGAAAAAATTTGTAAAAATTTGAATCAACATATACGACATTTTAAATACCTGCAGGTACTGCCAATATTGAAATGTAATGGCAGCTCCGCATACTTTAGATATTTTACTTTTAAAATTTTTACAACCTTGTGTTTTCACTCTAGTCTGCACATTAGCAGTAGAAATATATGTCACCATGCTGAATGCATCTTCCCACAGCTTGCTGACAAACTGCTTTACTGTGTACTGTTTTTGAACCATGCTACATTTATTGTTATTTATTTATTTCTCCAATGCATTTTCCTTTCCTGTCATTCTCTTTAATTTGCTTCCATCTCCTATCTACCTCATGTAAACACAGCCTGCAGTTCAGCCGAAAAGTCTCAGGATTTTTGCCACATTCCTGTTGGTTGCAGCTGAGTCACTTGTGGCATTTTATTTGCACCACAAAGTGCAGATGTTTTTTTTTGTTTTTTAGAGAGTCTGTTGCAAACTGTTTATTTTTAGTGAATTAAAATAAAACAGGAAAAAGTGAATTTGATGAAATATCACGATTTTAAGCATAGATTTTGTAAAATTTTCTGCCACATGTCATGTGTGATTAGTTGTCGGAAAGCTGAAAATGCCACAATTCTTTGTTTTTACAGTCTTTTGAAAATGGTGTGATTTTTACATTTTTTTGAAGATAATGTGCTTTTTTTTTTTTGCACTTTCTACACCTCTTCCTAGCTAACAGAGCATTGCTTTTTTTCTATTCTTTCCGTTTAGACGGCAGAAATAGGTATGACTGAAAATGTTGGCGACAGCGGCCTGCGTTTTGAGATCTGGTTCCGTCGGAGGAAGTCACAGGACACGTTCATACTCCAGGCCAGCTCTGCGGAGGTCAAGGCAGTGTGGACGGCTATTATTGGAAAGATCCTGTGGAGGCAGGCGCTCAGGAACAGAGGTGTGTTTCTGTGCCAGACTGTATAGTTTCACACAGACCATTCAATAGTAATATGAAGTGATAAGGTTATAGTTTGTCATTAAAGATGTACGTTTTTTTGGATTGTAGAGTTGCGTATGCAGGAGATGGTGTCCATGGGGATTGGAAGCAAACCTTTCATGGACATCAAGCCAAGTGATGCAGCCATCAGCGACAGAGCCATTGACTACATCATGAAGGGGACAGGTGAGCTCATTTCGTGCACATCATACTTATTCAGCTACTCAATTTTGTCTTTACTGAAACCACAAAAACATGAGCAGATGTTTAAATGCAAACTGTATTTTTAAGGGTTTTGTTAAGTAAACACCACAGCTGGAATCCAACGCTGAGTTTTCATTACAACCGCAGTAAATTCCTTTTTATTCCTCACCATAAAAGAAAAATCCTGCCTTAATTATCGCAATTACCAACCGCAGGAATTTTATACATTCGTTACATGCATTCCTCGATCCTTGTCTCAACCGACAGAGTCCAGGACCAGGGCGTCCATTGCAGTGCCATCATTCGAACACTGCACCTCATTCAAGAGGCCTCACTCCACCATCTCCAACAGCAGCACCTCCTCGTCCAGCAGCCAGTCGTCCTCCTCCCTGCTGGGTTCGCTCAATCTCCACCTGTACTCCTCACCCTCTCACCCGCACACACATCCGTACCCGTTAGGCAGCGTTTCCTCCTTCGCCCAGTGGCCCTACGACTGCATCGAGGAGGACGAGCTGGAGCAGGACACTGGGAGTCAACCCTCCATGAGTGAGTGGCTGTTTTATTGCCTTTTTGGCAAGTGGGTTAATTTTGAAGATTCAAAGAACAAATAAAAGTCAGATTGGTTCATTGTGTGCAGCTCAGTTGTGCTGAAGTCTTTTCTGAAATTTTAATGTTGCAAGTAAATCTTATTGATTTAAACCGCTTTTAAGGAAGTGAGAGAGCATCGTTTTCTGGCCGTTTTCTGCGTAGACATCTTGTGATGTGTGTTAGCACACATTGGTTTAGCAGCAGAAATAGTGATTTCAGTGATTTTTAATATCTTTGTACACAAGGTTTCATTTGAGATAAAGTTCAGTTTCTTTGAATTTTTGGTCTTTTTGGTAACATAGCATCAGCTGTGGACATCCATCCATCCATTATCTATACACCGCTTTATCCTCACTAGGGTCATGGGGGGCTGGAGTCTATCCCAGCCGACTTAGGGCGAAGGCAGGGGACACCCTGGACAGGTCGCCAGTCTATCACAGGGCCACACTTAGAGACAGACAACCAAGCACACTCACATTCACACCTACAGACAATTTAGAATCACCAATTAACCTCAACATGTTTTTGGACTGTGTGGGAGGAAGCTGGAGAACCCGGAGAGAACCCACGCTGCACAGGGAGAACATGCAAACTCCATGCAGAAAGATTCCGGTGCCCCCACCGGGATGCGAACCGGCAACCTTCAACCTTCTTGCTGCGAGGCTACCAACTGTGCCACCCTGCAGCCAGCTGTGGACAACCGTTCAAAATCTTAACCTAAAATCAGCTCTTGAAGTACTTTCAGTTGTAGTACGGATTATTTACATGGGATCAGGTGTGAAGATGACAGGTCAGTTATGCAGAAATGCAGATTTATCCTGAAGGTCCTGTGTAGATTCTTGGTCATCCAGGTCCTGGTCATCCTAAGAGCTTCAGTAGAGAGCTGTTTTTGGTTCTTGATGCTGTTTTTACCTTCATCTAAGTAGCTTCTTCAGTTCTAACTCAATAAAAGGAGTCCTGAAGCAATTTATCATCATCTTCAGTTCGCGTGGCAAATGGATCATTAACAACACTCACATGCCTTGAGGTGTGAAATATTGTGAAACTGCCAGGTGAGGGATGAGTCAAGATGTTGATGATGGTGAAACTCTCTAAGGGGCCAGCTCAAGGCTGCATAATCAGTTCTTGATAAGTGGTGTCTTGTTTATCCAGCGTGTGGACATTGCTGTCCTCAAAGGAGTGTCTCTGATCTTTTAGATGCACGGTTTTGCAGTCCTGCCAACCTGAGAATTGGTTTTAATCCTGTGTGCTACTTTGGGTTTGTTAAGAGATCAGTGGTGGCCTGTCAAGACTTGTGTAAAATCCTTGAGATTGTTGAAATGCAACATGGAAATCCTCCACATTCACTGGACTGGTATTGTGCGGGTAGAAACATAACTAGGTTGCATAACAATTGGCTGCCTGGTTAAGCATCCTTCCTAGTGTTAGATTGTTGACCTCCAATTAACTGCTCCTGACCACTTAGTGGCATGAGCAGTTTCCATACAACACACTATATGTCCTTTTCAGTTAATTGTTTTCATTGTAAAACTTGGTTTGTCCAATTTTGGTTACTCCTTCATGTTGCAACCTCCCGATCCAGGGTCATAACGAGAGCCTGATCGCCATATCAAAGTATCAGCATATATTGGACAACATATATTAAAACTTTATTTGACAGAACATAATGCAGAAAAAGATGCCTCAGGTCATTTAGAAACAGTGTCATCACATAGTTCGTCCAGCAGAGCAGCTTTAACTCCAGTATTTACAATACTCTCAGCACTGTGTGCAGCGCATGTAGCAGAGTACGTGTTGGAGTAGAGCAGACTGTGCTGAAGAGCCATCTTCATGGTAAGCTGCTAACTAGTTGACAACAATGGCCCGTCATTTTTCTGTTCCAATATAACTCCAGCATACTAAATAACATCAGCCAATATATCAGTATTGAATTTCTTACTTCCTAATATTGGTATCGCCTCCAAAAATGTATTATCAATTGGGCTCTAATCGTATTATTTAGATAACTCCTCAATCTTTGGATGTGTGCAGTTTCAATCAGTCCAAATCAGTAAAAACATTTATATAACAATATTAGCAATAGAGTAATAAAACAAGCAAAACCAGGAAATACAAGGTGCATGTGTGGCGTTTTTAAATGTGTGATTACTGCCTGACTCAGTGTCTTTTATTGCTGCAACCACTAGGAGTTGCCAAAGTGTAAAAATATCAAATCCCATACGGCTTGACGAACTTGGTAACTTCCCACACAGTGACCGGAGTTACCTGTCGGCCAGTCCTGTATCACACTATTAATGTGTCTTCCTCTGTGCGTTGTCCTGCAGTTACGGAGAGCTCCGAGACTTCCTCCCAGTGCACCTCCAGTGACAGCGTAACAGGGCTCAGCACCCTCACCATCCCCGGCCACACCGGCATCACCATGGACTCCTACAACAACAACAACACCACCGAGTCCTCCTCTTTCCTCTGCTCCTCCACTCCTCCCTCCTCCATCGTGCCTCCATCGATATTCCAGAAAGATGAGGATCTCCAGCAGCCGGGCACCAAGTTCATCACAGCAGTGAGTTGTTTACTGACCTTAATTAATATCATTCCATATAAACCTACCTCTGTACAGACGTATGATTTAATGAACACAGAACATTTTACATTTTGTTTCTTTTCCAATCACTATATAAACTACTATTGCTGCCTGTGGATCGTGTGAGTCCCCCTAAACCTGTTAAGTAGTTTGTAAAAGAAGAACTAACGAAAATTTGTTTATTAGGAACTTCTTTCTAAAAGAAACCAATTTGATGTGTTATGTTCAGTTTTAGTTGAAACCGTCTAATACAAGTGTTGATTCAACCGTATGGTCACTGTAGTGGATGTAGTTTACACTGCTATTGAATTTATTTGCATTTTTCAGATAGTTCTTTTCTACCAGTGCTGATGAATTTGAGGAAAAATATCTAATTCTGTGATGATTTAAAGTCACAGATGTGCAATCAAAATATTAACTGTTCTGTTTTCTAATGCCAGCATAATCAATTATAGGATAACTTACAAAAGAAAAAGATAATTGTTTATTACAATAAGATAATAACACAATTGTTTCTAGTGTGTATTTTTTTAATGGCATAGAAGGTAGAGCAGTTGTCACAAAATATAGGAGTCTCAAATAAATTCAAAATAGCAAAAAAAAATTACAATAATCCTGATAAGAAAAAAACAGGACCTGATACTAAAATAGGCAGGAGATGTATGGCTCAGGAGCAGCATTTAAGTATTGCACACTCTGCAATCAATTTGATAAAGTAATAACAATAAATAAATAAACCCTGGCTCATACACGCTGCAAAATGTATATCATAACTTGCAGCATGGTGATTTAATTAATTAACTACTTTTGATTAAATTAAATCAACTGGGTCACACCATATATGCTCATTGGCTCAGTGCCACAAAGTCATCAAAATGCTTCTCATACCTTTTTTTGTTGTATTTTAGGTAGTTATATTGACTACACATACTTTTTTTTTTCTGTTTTACATATTCGTTATGTGTACATTTGGATCCCCTAAAGGCATACAGACATTTTTAATCTGTGAAGACAACAGAAGTGTGAATGTCACCAGTGAATAACGTCTTATCCCCTTATGAGTCTGAAGTGCTTGAGCTCTCTGGAAGTATTTTTGTTTTGAAAAATAAAGATGACAAACGTTAGAAAGAATAGTGAATAGAAAGATTTTAGTACTTCAAAAAATATATTGTACATAATTTGTCGAAGAAAAGCGTATCTCCAGGATCATATTTGTTGATTGAAGCCTGACTGTAGCTCCTGTTTGATGATTTTTAAAGATCCATTCTGTGTAAAGAGGGTTTATTGTGAGCATACTGTCAACAACTATGAACTCCAAAACACAACTAGAGAACGGAAATTTGCCTGACCACAGCTATTTGATTGATATTAAGTGAAAATATGCTAAAAATTACGGTGTAATTGTTTAACCTTCTCAAACCCCAAACCTGTCAGCAGGCTTGAAAAGGATGTTATTGTGAAAAATTGTTTTATTTCCGCCGTTTATCAGATCCGGAAACTGTAAAAATTAGATAAATTGTCAGATTTTCAACTTTATCGTGTTCTTTGAACTAACCATTTGGTGTATGCAATTTAATTGAGAAAACTGACCAAATCTAGGCTTAAAATAATATCATGATATTTAATCGGTGTCACTTTATTCTCTATGTTGCATTTAAACGTTTGCAGAAAATAGAAAAATAAATGCAGTGTGACTCGGAAATAGCATGCTGAGGAGCAAGTTGCAAAACAAGATGTTGGAAGATACATTTAGGATGCAGAGTTTGTAGAGGTTGTAAAAATATAAATTAAATTGAAATAGTTAAATAGCCTCCAGTTGTATGACTGTATTGGTAAAACTTGTGTGCATTAGGAAAAATGATAAACATATTTTCTCTAGTTTCTAGCTTCTCTTTTTTGTTAAGTTTTGTTTTTTTAATGATTTAAAGCATTATAAGTGTGTCATCCTGCACAAAAGACATGTTTGAGTTGCCGTTCCTTCTAGCCATGTTTTTACCATTTCCACAGTGGTGCAAGACTTTGGGTTTCAGTAAAAAAAAAAAAAAAGCCAACAATGAGGAAAAATATGATGTACAAAAACTGCCAGGGTTCAGAGGGTTAAAGCCTCAGAGCAGTTAAATCTGTTTCATTTATGTTGAACAATTACATATATTTATCTTCCAACTCGAAAATCTGAACATTCATGTAAAGAATACTGTCATCTGCAAAAGCGTTTACACGATAGTATGTTCTTGATTCATTCGTATGATATGTAATGTTGTGAGGAGCTTTTATTTCATTCTCAACTGCTAACAAACGTCCCATCAAACAGCTTTGTTAAAAGAGGAACTTAAAATAATCAGCTCACTTTCTAAGTTCGGCCCGGAGATGTGAACAGCAGTAGTAGAAATTAGCTGCAACATTAGCTTCACTCACCACCTTTTTGCTGTTTTGTTTTTACCAGAGCAAGACCTCTCATATAGCAGTAGGCCTCTCTACAGTGGTCTGAGGGGTTTTAGCTCAGTAAGTAACCGGCGTCACAGGAGTGGACGTCTGTGTTGTCCCCTTCACAACCTCATTAACAACTGTGAGGAAGCACCCGTGGCCTGAATACTAATCTGTGTGGAAATGCTTTCGGTGCCTGTGTTGTGTTCTGCATGGCGGTGTGTCCTGATTGGTTTAGCGGGTTCTCCTCCTCGCCGGTGGTTTTGTCTTGTAAACTTCTGGTCTCTTGTTCATGTTTTCCTCATTCTTTCATTTGTGTGCATCTGTTTGGCATGAGGGTGAAATGTATGCAATTAAATGTCACGTGTTCTTCCTCAGGGGCATGTAAGTTTGAACACATGCATGCTGTGTTACATTATGATAATCTTTGTTTTTAGAGCACTTTTCAAAATCTAAAACAGACAAGTCAGATAAAAAAAATTAAAAAAAAACACTGTTTAGCATATTAAAAACTATTACAGTGTTGGAAATTGCAACACAAGTACAATCAGGAAAGGCTCTCTGCCCAAACTATGTCTTAAGAAGAGACCTCAAAGAGGTCACTGACCTGATTTCTTCTGCAGATTTTACCAGAAACTCAGGGCCCTGACTGTAAACACTGGCCACTTTCAGCCCCTGGGCCCCGAGAACAGACAAAAGACCCCAGCCAGAACATCTGCAAGTGCATACCGGTGCATATGGTAGTAAGAGGTCAGAGTTATAGCAGAGAGAGGGACCATGAAGGGGCTTCAATCTGTAAAATCTCTTCTTAAAACATACTGGGGCCAATGTAAAAAGGCTAAAACCAGAGTGATGCGATCACATCTCTTGGTTCCTGTTAAAAGCCTGGCAGCAGAGTTCTATACAGTCTGGAGTCGACTGAATAAAAGAATGTAAACTTTTTGTCTTTAAATGTTAAGATGGATTGAATCCCTTCTGAGATGATAACAAGATGTTAAAGCTTAAATTAAACTGCCAAACTAGACGCAGAGATTCTTTGCAAAAGGCTCGATATAAGGCACAAAGGAACTAGCTGATGGCTACAGCCTTCGTTTCAGTTCAGTTTCATATATTTGGATATGCCTGACTTTGTGTTTTTAATAAAACGTTGAACTTGAGACAGATAGCAAGACTTTATTTAGTCTTTAGTCAAGAATAAGACAAAATATCACAATGTAGATAGCAGTGTTAGAGTAGCCAATCAGTTAAAAAATGAACTGTTCAATGTGTAGTTACATACAAGCGTTTTAAAAACGTGTGATAAATAAGAAGAACTTCAGTGTTGTTCTGTGCTGTCGGACACAAATGATGATAAATCTTTCAGCTGACGTATTTCCTTCCCATTTTAAGACCGCTTTAAGCCAGAGAGTGTAAAAAAATAAAACATCTCTGCATATTAAAGGAAACAAAAACACATGTTGATGAAGGTTTTGGCAGATATATCAAAGAAATGTTATTTTTTAATGCATTTTAACAGCTAAAGACAGGTTTTGAGAAACAACTCGTCTCAAACATTCATTGTAACGTTACAGTCATGTTATTGAAGTTTAATCAGAAATAAGTTTGCGGAACTCTGCTTTCCATAAGACACAATTTAGGTTCTTGGTTTTAAAACACTGACGCTTAGACATGACAATTTTAGCCAGAAAACTGAAAGGTTTGCATCATAAACAGATGTTTAACTGGGCGTCTTTGCTTGACAGAAATTCTTAATATTGCATGCTTGCTCGATTGAAACTATTTTGCTATTTGTAGAAATATAAATATATATTTTGAAATATATTCTCATGTTTGATGTCTTTTTTTTTGTCTGTCTTTGCAGCTGTGAAGTCCTCAAGCAGCAGTTTGTATTTCGCATCAAGAAGATGGAAAATAAGAGTCAAACTTCAGAGCACTAAGACTTTATTGGCTACAACCCCACCAGTACATGACATTTCAATATGACACTGTAAATTGAGAAATGACACAAAATATACACTGTCATGATGGTACGTCAGACGTCTGTACATTTGTTTTAAGGAACTAGGCACGTGTTTATATTGTAGATGTATTTTACAGAACAAAAAGTAGCAAAACAATCCAGAAAATGTCGTTCTTTTGTTGTCGCCAGTCCTGCGTTGTGATAAATTTGTACAGAAGATTAAAATGTTTTAAACATATTGTTGTGTTCATTTCTTTACTACAATTTTTATGTGACTTACAAAAAAAATAATAACAATTGTTTCCCCCTAACGAATGACTGCCGTGGTTTGCAAACAAAAGCTTCAAAGTCTGGGAAAGCTTTCTGAAACTATCAAAAGTGTGAGTGCAGTTAAATACAACTAGCAGATATTTCCACTGATAAATAAGTATGAAAACCACACACGCATACAGACTCTTGCAAATAGAGAGCCAGAACTGCACTACGAGACCCACTACTACCGTTGCACAAAGAGGCGCAGAGGTTAAGGAGGATGAGTGGTTTTTTTTCTTCTCATGAGAGACGCTGACATTTGCTCACCGCAAGCCTTGTGTTCTTAGTCCGAGTGAAACATCAGATGCAGACCACAGCCCGGGCTGAGCAGCAGGGGTTTTCACTCCATTATAGGCAATTGAGACAGAGCAGAAAGCCACATTAGTTGCACAAAAAAACACACAAAAAAAAACCTGCTTAACGTCTCTTAAGCAGCAGTATGCAGCTGTTCCCTGGTCCTCTCTATACACATACACACTGTTTAATTTAAAGTCTTAACCCTCAAATTTCTTCTCAGAAAACTTCAGCAGTTTGATCATTTGGATTTTGCACTTCTCTCCTTAGAAAACCAAAAGCAGAGGACTGCAGAGAGGATGACCTCGAAGCCCAACACACAAAGCTCCAGTACCTCCATCTGCTCAAACCAAAAATAGAATTAGTCTTCTATTAGAAAATATCAAATCTATTGTATCATTTTGTCATCGTTTTACCTTTAAATGGTCAGTGTTTTCTGGGTCCCAGAGAGCCAGGTCGACGCTTATCAGACAAGCTGCAACAACAGCTACGACAATGCAGCCGTAGTTAACAGCGAGGGACGCCTGGAACAAAAAGCATTTTTTTAAACTAATAATCACCTTCTCCACCAGTACATGCATAATTCATTTCACTTACAGTCACTAATGCTGGGTATTTGAACAGCAGGTTGGAGACAACTCCAGCAAAGATGAACTGTAGAGGAGGAGAAAGCAGCTTTTAGGTTAATGTGCTTTAATGCTGCTTTGACAGCCTTGCTTTAGCAGAGACTTACAAGTGTTCCAGTCAGCTGGGAGACTCTGAACAGAGTGCAAAGGGATTGTGTCATGTCCTGGGTTACAGAGAAAAGAATTCCCACTCCAACGCTGAGGAGACCACTCACCATCTGCAGAGACTAACAAAGGAACAGAGACAAACAAATATATAGGTCAATAAGAGTAACACTCAAACTGTGAAGTGTGTTCAGTCTTCCCTATAAGATAGATTCTGTAAATATTTGCAGTAAATAGTCCAAAAAAAAAAAAAAGATCATTTACAATTATGAGAGCAAATAGAATATGGATACATTGACTTGTGCAGATCAAAGTGTATAAGTTAACACTTTGCAATAAAGATGTATTCAGCATAACTGCAGACATGTCAGGAATGCTCAGAAAGAATAAACAGCATGTCATGAATGCAACAACAATGCATTGCACTGAAGGCTACTAAGGGCACATGATCATACTTAGTTGAGCTTTTCTAACCTCATTTTACAATAATTAGTTTGGTTTAATTATATGTTTCACTTTGATTTAGACACACATGAGCTAAGCGCATTCTGTATGTACACTGGAAAAACGTGTTTTTCATGTGCAATTCATCATGAGTCCCCACTCCAAAAGCACACAAATGAAAAAATGAATGATTAACAAAATTAAATGTTTGTTTTTTTAAGAGGCTGTATGTGTAAAATCGGATTTCATAGCTGCAACATGAATTAAATCAGCCAAATTTGACCTAAATCATTAACTATAGGTTTAAAGGTAAATAAATAAATGTGCACTGTTGTGATCTGTGCATACAGTCACAATATTAGATGGACACTATTGTGAAACTTCAGCCTTCACTCTTACCTGACTTTGGGCGGCAGCCGCAGAAACCTCAACTACACATTTCCTGTTGTTGCTGCCCAGATCGGCACAATGGTGTCACTTTGGACACTTTCATCCCTTTACTCTGTCAGGGGTAGAGACTTGCAAGAACAGTCTCATAAATATTGTAAGAAAATAAAAATGAGAAGAAGCTAATGTCTAAATGTAAGCCCTTGCAAAATATAAATATATATAAACAGCAGCAATGTGTGCGTTACTGTATGAGAAAAAATAACCACAATCTTGGTTCCTTTGTTGTCTGATTGTGCACGACTATCAGTCGCCACCAGCTGACATGTGAACAGCATGAAAATGGTCTTCCTTTTTGATTTAGAGAAAAAGTCTAATTTTTGTCAAAGGTAGCTAAGGGTTCAATTTAGCCGAATGTGTAAGAAAAAGGTTTTGCATGTGTTAGCAAATTCTTGATCATTGAGTTGATTTACAGCCTGGTCAGGTGTGTCACATGGTGTCTCATTGACAGGAGAAAAGTAAAAGAAAACCTTAAAATGCAGCTTTATTCAAATGACATGGTGCTACACACAACAAGAGGAAGGTGAGAACAGGATGCTGGCATGTCACTAGAGTGTTCACAGCTTTACCACTTTGACAATACGGTACCAACCTAGGCAGCTGTGGCTCAAGTGGTAATGTGAGTTTTCCCTTGGTGCCCTTTTGCAAGACACTAAACTGAAGTTGGTTCTGATGCTGTTCTGCAACACGGTGGCAACTCTGCTGTTGTTGGTCTGTGAGTGTGTGTGAATGAGAAACACTGTAAACCACTTTGAGTATCATTAAGGAGTAAACCTGCTATATACAAGCAAATGCAGACCGTTTACAATTCGCCATATGATGCTCTGGATCAATGTGTACAACACCGTGATCCTGTCCGCCTAAATGTCCATGTAAAAGTAACAAAGACTTTTATTGGTGGGGGGTAAATTCTGCTTAAAATAGCCTAATTAAATTGACAATAGATCTATGCTGAAAAGCAATAAAAGGACAAAACTATACTTATTATAGGCACTGAATTGCATCCTGCATTCTTATCTTTTGCTCAGCACATGAAACCTGTTATGTCTTGGTTTAGACACTTTTTTAAGAAAGCAGATTGTCCGGTACTTGCAGCGTTGGGAGTGTGAAACCTGATGTCTTCTAACTGCACACTAAACTGCCATTGTTCAAAACACTTAAACCCCAGCACTTCCTGGTGAGTAGTACGTGCCACCGCGCTGTGTAAGAGTTGACCTGTTTGAACTCAACCAACACGGACTGTCAAAAAATTTGTAGAGCAGCAACATGACCTAGAAATACAGCTGGATGTAAAATCAGGTGATTTTATTATTTTAATTAGAACCCCTGATTGCAACAAAGATCAAATTGAATTATTCCAGGTTGCAGGCGCAGAATGAATAAATCTTGATTTCCAGAACTCGCCGCTTAGTGTTTATGAAACGAGCCCACATTAAAAGACGCCAATAAAGTAATGTAAGGAGGTTAGAAAAACAGTTAGAGGAATATAAATAAATAAAACCCTGTGTCTGTTATGTGTTACAGAAAGAGAGGACCACCCGACTTCAATACAGCGATGAGCTTTGTAATGGTTATCAGTAATAAATCTTAATGCCAAACAGTGCCCACTGGCTTCAGAGTCACAGCTGATATATTTATCTGTAAAATGCTACGATAAATCCAGTACTAACAGAAAAGTTGCCTTAATAATTGTTTTTCTACAGAACAGTTGGAAACATGATTTATTTCTGCTAAAGAAACTTTTATCATCGTAATTTAGTCACCAGTTTGGATGCATGATATTTAAATGCTAACGTCTCATCAATCAAAATTCCGAGATATTTGTACATCTTGAATGAATAGAAATAACAGGATTCTCTTAATCAATATTTATGGGTCCGGTGAAGCTCATGACTTCGGGTTTATTTGCGTTGAGAGCTGATTTGCGCTTGTTTAGACTGAAATTGTAAAGTGTCAACTTTACAGTACACAGTGGTGTCATCAGCATAAAGATACACATAAGAACCAGATACAGGTGAAACAGCTCGGGTCACAGTACATTCAGATCTGTTTTAACTCTCTTACCCCCAACACAGCCGGCTGTTTCTGCATCAGGTCGTGCAGCGGCCCTTTGTAATCTGGCACCATCTCGGTAGCCTGGTACGGCCATACTTTCTGCGGCTCTCTCTGGTTGATTGGTCTGCGCTGATCCTCATCGTCGTGGATGTCCATGTCAATATCGGCACAGGCCATGGTGGCTTCTCTGATCTGAAAATCAATTTGTGAAGTGAATGATTTCTCTGTCAGACTCAACGAAGTGCAAACACTGCCTTAACAAGTACACTGAGTGACCTGAAATCATGAAATCTATGTATTCTGCAGTACAACACCATATAACAGTGAAATTGTAGAAATTAAGACCATTTATGAACATTTGCTGACACAGAACGGTGATAATTCAGAGTTATTGTATTACATTTCAGGAAGCTGCTGCACATTGTTCTGGTGGTTCTATTTTCCTTGCCATATTTGTTTGATGCTGCACATGACATGCTTGCTTTAAGATGTACAACAAAGGGACAATGCAGTGAAAAATAAGGTGAAGATTGAATTAATCACATCTTTGTACAAACTCAATATACAGTTTAGACTTAAGAGAATATGAAGCCTTTCCTGGCACTGTGTTGCATCATATTTCCTACATTAAGGGACCGAGATGTTTCTCAACAAAAAAGGGTATAAAACCCGGCTATACTAATTTATTAGTGCTTATCTTATCAACCAAGATGCAAATATTGGGTTGATGTTGTAAAAGACAGTTGCAATTTTGGTTTTAGCTTTTATTCTAAGTAGTTTGGCAGCCCTTATTTAGTCTGTCTGCAGGTTTGGGTTTGTTTTATACGCTGTATATCTTCATGTTTTATGTCATTGTAACACAGAAAACTGTACATGAAATATTGCCAAAAACATATCATTTCTTTGCTGAGTTTGTGAACAAGAAATTCATATTTGCAGACGATTAAAGATTCGTACTGACCAATACACAATCAACAATCCTTGAAGTTTTCATTGAACAAAATTAAAAAATATGAAGGATCTTTTAAAGTAACATGGAAATGCATAAACTACTTGATACCAAATATAAAAGCACAAAATAAAAACAGCTCTAGTTTACATATAAGTAGTACAACGGATACATTTAACATAGACACTTGCGAATACATGTACGTGAACATACAGGCTTTGAAATATTCCTAATTTCATATTCTGCACTGCAAATGTGTTAAACGAAGCTGTTTTTCAGTCCAAAAAGAAAAGAATTTTGAATCATTCTTACCCCGTCTGGCTTGAGCAGAATCTATTTCACACTCTGTCTCAAACTAGTGTCTTCTTTTTTAGCCATCATTTCCACTTCCCTGCAAATACTGACAGATGAGGTCATCACACACTTTAACTTCCTCACCGTGGCAGCAGTTTCTGCAAGATTATTATGTTAAAGTCTCAGTGCCTCGTTGCTATATGTTGCATTTTATGGTATTTGTCCCTCATGTAAACACTTTTTGTGACTTAACATTTGTTTTTCACACAAATAAGTTGAAATATAAGTTTTAAATCTTGGTTAACTCGTTTTGCATGCGAGCACTTTGCAGGTGTGAGAGAAGGGGGGTGTGTGGTGTTGAGGGAGGGGTGAGATGAAGACAGTTGCCGTTTCAGGCCATTTCCTTGTCGAACTCCTTTTTGAAAGCAGAGAAATTCAGATCTGAATCGAGTTAAGAAAAAGAAAAAAGAAAAAAGGTATTAGAGCTGTTTGCTGCAAACCTCAACGACTGATCGCCACTGATACAAGCTACCCTAACGCTCTTTGATTTCGTTTACAGGAGGAAGATGAGGAAGACATTCGTGTGCGATGAGTCCATGATCATCACTATTCCTATCGGAGGTCTCGGGGTTGTTCGAGAGGAGCAGCTGATGCCAGAAAAATTCCACTGTGTGTTCAAAGATTCCTACAAGGTGTTTGTTATCAAGGGGAAACCTCAGCCTCTGGGAGTAAGTGCAACTGTTTTGTATGCAGATGGAAAGGTGTGGTGCCGTGCAAACAGACTCCTACATTTTCTCTTATTTTCTGGCTTGAATTTACACACAAAAATTGCAGCATTCTTATACAGGCTTTCTCTACTTTAAGTATTTTTAATTCAGTATTAAAATATTTGTCCTCTTTCTTTTTTTATAAGGCAGCCCAAGCCGTTGCTGGTGTGTTTCTTTTCGCTCTTGGCATGATGTTTAGACACATAATCTTCCAAATGTACACTCTGCCAAGCATTGTGGTGAGAAAACTATTTCAAAAACTTTTTTAAAAAGTCTCAGGAGTAGTTGCAAACTGTTATACATTCATGTGAAATAATTATTGCTATGTTTTATCATTTTGGCAGTTTGTGCTGTGTGGCATACTGTCCTACGCTGCAGGGAAATATCCAAACATGCATGTGGTAAGTAATATCTTTTAAAAATGATGATTTTTTAAATTTTTGATAAGGAAAAATTGCTGAGTTTTTTAAACTACTAGTTGTCGATTTTTGGATTGTTTCAGAAAGAGTCGAATATTTACTTTAACTATTCAAACAACTCAGATCAAGAAATGGTCTGTGTGGTCTGTTGGTCTTTGAGAAGCACAGGCACACAAATGGATGCTTGTGAATGCAATGAAATGTCTTTTTCTCACCCTCCAGACAAAGCTGTGCTTCTCTCTGAACATTATCAGCTTCTTCTGGTCAATTGCTGCTTTTTCCCTTGCCCTGACCAGTTTTCATTTTCCTTTTGGCATAAGAAACATCAAGGTATAATAAAACAACATCACATTTAAAAGTGGTTCTTAAAATTACAAAGCATGTATCGGTGTACTTTAAACTTTTTTTTTTTTCCTCATTTTGTAGCTGATGGATGGAATCACAGGACTGGCAATAGGTCTGCTGGTTATTGAAAATGTCATAGCCCTCTTCTTGATCTACTGGTCGAGTAAAGCTGTGTGCAGAACACATTTCAACTCTTTGGTACGTCCCTTTCTTTATATGCATGCGGCAGCTGCATGTAAGTGAAATTAAATGTTTTACAGTAATAGTCTATTTTCTTTTTATTTATTTTTTGCTCTGTAGCCCACCATACTGCTGAAACGTGGAGACTGAATTTGATGCAAACCAACAGCAAACCCACTTGTACTACCAGCCTGCCAACGCTATCCACTCCTCAACATGCAACAAGATTGTCAAACTCCTCATTGTTTCTGTCAGAAATAGTTGAAAAAAACATGAATAGCTGCTTGTGTTAAAATGCACGACTGTCCAAATATATATGATGTCTTACTTTTGTATAATTGCCTGTTTAAAATGCATTTTTGTCTGCGAGATCGATACTAACACAAAAAATGTCAGTCATGTCCTTTTCATTCCTGCAGAGAGCTGTACTTTGTTGCAGTACGTTTTGAAATTTCCTCATTTAGAGTGGAAAAAAACATGCAAGCAGAAGTTCAGCATTGCTTAATGTAAAGTTGCTCTTATGATGACTAAATATTATTTAGATTAAATATGAATTTAAATTTTGCTACCAGGATTTCTGTGCCATTAATGTGGTACAATTTTATTTGATTTGTAAATTTTCTAAAACGTATCCATTACTTACCGAACTACTTCTGTTTCATTAATTGCGTTCACCACATTCATTGCCTCTTCTTGAATATATTAATAAAGATACCTGTTTTGTTTCAGTTTAATTTGTCTTTTCATTGAGCTAAAATGATGCTGCTCTATTCTATGCAACACACAACTACAAATAAATTAAATAGGCCCTTTTTTGATGTCAAAACAGGAGATTTATGTTTGAAATCAGTAAGAAAAAAGACACTTTGCTGTCGTATACCAAGTAAATTTAATTTAAAAGAAGTACATAAATATTTTATGCACTTCATAAAGGATCTCAAGCCAATGCAGAGACACTGCTGCATGCATTAAACACCTGCAGAACAGCAATGCTCTACTTTATGGTCTCCACAAGGAGAAAATGTCTTTGCCACAGTCGCTTCAAAACGCACTTTTGTGTGTTGGTTCAGACCAGTGGAAAGCAAACAATACACTCATGTTAAAGTCTCGGCACTGGCACGTCTCTGCTCAGCAAAGTCCTTTGTGTTAGATTCCATTTGTTTGAAAAGTGCTGTACAAATAAAGCCAGTTTGTTGATAAGGGGTAACATTTTCGACTGGGATATGTGGTTGTAGAATATATATCCATTAAAGACATTAGACATTTTCGCATTGTGTCCTACCAAATAAAATACTAAAGCAAAAAAAAAAAAATCTAATGTGACATGTAACATTTTATTAAATTCCATTCATTCTTTTTACAAACTCTCTTAAAACGAGAGGAGACTCGAGAAACTCCAGCTCAGTTTAGAGAAGATGTCGCTGGAGGAAACCTTTAATTAGTCAAAAGGGGCTCCTGGGAGATTCTTTTGTAGAGTTGGCCCTGACTTCTGCTACATATACATCTTATTCTGTTCATTTTATTCTTAAAACCTTTTTTTGGCATTCAATTTTGGAGCTCTTTGGAACAAAATCTGAGACAATAATGCAAGTATAGGAGAGTGGCTCTGCATATTTGTGCAAAGAGGGATCTTATCTGACTTTGTACTGACAGAATTTTGTATAAATGACTCTCTACACTGATGCTTAGATCCTCAGTTGGCTATATATGTGTATATATATATATATACACACACATACACATACATACGTACATACATACATACATACATACATACATACATACATATATTCTGATATTTATCTTAAGTTTGGGGTTAAAAAATATTTTGTGCTAATCATAATTAATACTTAAAATGAATTGTTTCTTTTGTCATCTGTGACATTGTATTGTTTAAATAAAGCTGCATTTTAAAATGACTTTTGATAGTCACAGGTCAAATGAGTGTCAGGTCACACTATCTGATCTTTGTCGTTTAAACCCACACCAGACACGGACTACCTCAAAGGACACCAGTTTGTCACCAGTTGAACAGCTTAAAATGTTTTTCTGCAGAAAAGAAGAGGCCCATTTGCATGCTGCACAGATATCTTTAATCAGTGGTTGTAACCATGCAGAGTTGAACTTACTGATAAGGGTATGAGGAAGTTAGGTGTAAAATAAACTTTCTGATTCCAGAAAATAACACCAAACCAAATCTTTAGAAAACAGGTGGGAGGACCTTATTGCTGCCCTATGAAAAATAACATGAAGAGCCACAAGAGGGAGGTAAACACACATGAAATCATGCCAAGTAAATTCACCATTCAGTGAAAGCTGAATTCTAAGAAATGCATTCATTTGATACCCAAATAGCTGCATGTTTGTGCTGTGCTCAGGTTTCCAAAGCCTGCGCAGACTGCTAATAGCTTCTGGCTAGCTCGCATAGTTAAGGCAGTCTTAGTAAATCGGTTATGCGTCAACGTCCTTGCATGGAAGTCACGCTAAAAACAATGAGCACATGATGAAGGGGAGCTCTTCCGCCTTGGGACACGCCCCAGCAAACATGTCAGCCAATCAAAATCAAAAGTGAACAATTTCCCTAAAACTCTCTTCCCCCCCTCCTGTTTAACCCATCCGCTGTTTGCCTCTGCTGCTTGCTAGTTATGTAACTTTAAATATTTATTCGGGCTGTTTCGGTGTGTTTTGGTCGCCGCTGGAGATGGATCACTTTCTCCTGTGAGAGGCTGCTGCTGCTGCTGCTGCTGCCGCTGCTCTCCTGCCTGCCTTCGTCCGGCTATGGCGACCCTGTATAGCGGATCCCATACCTTGAGCAAGGATGATGTGAACTACAGAATGCATTTCCGAATGATAAACGAGCAGCAGGTTGAGGATATCACCATAGAGTTTTTCTACCGGCCGCACACGATCACGCTGCTGACATGCACGGTGCTCAGTCTCATGTATTTCGCGTTTACAAGGTGAGTCCGTTCGCGGCTAACGCTAGCTAGCCAGCTAGCTCCGGGGGTGTTAGCTTAGCTCGGCTAGCCGCAGCAGCAGTGATGCTCAGGCAGGTACACAGGGAGGCTTAGCTAACTAGCTTTACTGCCCGTTATTGGCTTTCCTCGCTTATAGTAAGTAACTTTCCTAATCCCTGCTGTCATTAAACGTCAACCTAAGCTCATAAAAACAGGCTTAGGGTAAGTTATATAACGTATATCCAGCAGTAAACACTGTTTCCTGACCTGACATTAGCTGCAACAGTGACAAGTGACAGTTTAGCTAAAAATCAAGTTTTGATTTAAAGTGAATTTTTATTTGACTGCTAAGTTGTTTTTTTTCTGGCTGGAAATAATACTGTAAAGTGTGTTTGTGTTATTCATTACCTATAACACTTGTAATTGTTGGAAATGCTTGAGGAAATACAGCTTTTTAATAGGTCCTACAGCATTTTTAATGCACTATAACCTGAGAACAGGTGATGCTCTCTAATCAGTTACTAGTCAATTACAAACCATGGTTATAAAGTAACCATAAATCTCAGTGAGCTTGCTATAAGAGAAATCATTGAGAAAGAGTTGTAGCTGCTCACAAGACATTGAAAGTCTATAAATTAATAACCAAGTGTTTTCAAGGTCCAGTGGCCACAGAGCAAATGGTCATTAAAACGTACAAGGAGTGCCATACAGCGATAAAGCTTCCAAGGGTGTGGTAGGAAGTGAAAGGTGACCCATGTGCAGGCAACGAAGGAAGTGTGAGAGGCCGAAAAGAATCCAAGGATCAAGCATCATGATGAATGTGAGCAGTTCTGGTAGCAACATCTGAAGAGGAGACACCGAACAAGACCCACAAAAGCTCACGTAGACAAAGAAGAAAGCATTTAGTCATCAGCTCTGTGGTCAGATGAGATGAAACGGAGTTGTTTGGACACGGGGATGTGGCTTTCATTTGGAGAAAGAAAGGAGAAGCATTCAGCCCCAAGAGCACCATCCCCACAGTCAAACATAGTGATGGGAATGTGATGCTTTGGGGTGTTTTTCATTCAACCTTGTTGTTGAACCTCATGAGAAAGAGGATAACATTAAGATAGTGAAGGAAAGCATTGGGCAGTCTGCAGAAAACCTTGTCCTTCGGCAGCATTGGAGCATCCAACAAGATAACAATGTGAGACATACAGCCAAAGAGGTGAATAGAAACCAAGCCTGAATCCATCCAGAATCTGTGAAGGAGCTGAAGACCAGAGGGATGACAAAGAAATAGAAATAGTTAAAATTTATAATTGACACAAGACTGTACCTTTTTTCCCCACTTGTTGATGTCATTTCCAGCCTGAAGAAACCTATTGGTCCAATAAAAATGCACTATAAATCAAAATTTTGCATTGGCATGGATAATTCTGGGCTTAACTGTAACTAGAAAGAAAATTATCTTCTTTATTGTATGTATTGTTATTGTTGTTTGAAGCTTGAGGACATGTAAGTGTGTCATCCAGGATGTGAAAGCTGGTCAACATACCTCAGTATTACTTGTGTTGTTAAATGCTCATTGGGAAACTCTTACTTTCCTCGGCAGAGATGATGGAAACCATGACAGTAACGTCTGGGTGGGGCTCATTCTGGTCATCTCCTTCTTCCTTGTCATCAGTGTTCTGGCATTTCCTAACGGTGAGCAAACGCCCGGCAGAATGTTTATTGTATTGTTAAACTTAGCCAAATGTGTATACTTTAATTACAGTTAGCCTGAAGGTGCTTCACAAACTGTCGTATTTTATAACAGTTAATACTAAAACCTGTTTTTCACAAGTGACTCATTATGAGAGGAATAAAAGGAACTGAGCTAAATCTGAAACCGAGGGTGAACAACCTCAGTCAGCATGGTGTTATTTTTGTTCGAGAGTCTATTCCATGACTTGCATACTAAATGTGCCTCATTCTAGGTCCCTTCACCAGACCGCATCCAGCAATATGGCGAATCGTTTTTGGTGAGTGTTTGCCGAAAGTCTCGGAGGGCAAAAACGACTTTTGTGTTGGCGTTTGCTTTCCATTTCTGAATGTCATGCCCTCCTTCTGCTCAGGCCTCAGTGTCCTCTACTTCCTGTTCCTGGTTTTCATCATCTTCCTCAACTGGCAGCAGGTGAAGCAGCTCATGTACTGGTTGGATCCAAATCTGCGCTACGCCAAGAGAGAGGCAGACATAATGGTGAGTGATTCTTTTTTTTCACATTGATTTACATGCACCACTTGCGCTCGCTATCACAGGATTATCAATCACTGTAATGAGGCTATCTGTGCTGCTGCCTGCAGGAATATGCTGTGAACTGCCATGTCATCACCTGGGAGAGAATCCTGAGCCATTTTGACATTTTTGCGTTCAGCCATTTCTGGGGCTGGGGCATGAAGGCCCTTCTCATTCGAAGCTACGGCCTGTGTTGGACCATCAGTATTACCTGGGAGCTTACTGAGGTACAGATTAGGACGCTTGGCATCCTGTCACTTTCTCTCTGCCTGCCTGCCTCTCTTTCTCTTTATAATGGAGAATTTTTAAGGCCACCTAAGCTGGTGATGTAAGTGGTTTATCCAGTGCAAAAAGATGGGTTTTTGGCCATTTTCTATTATTTTACATAACACATATTAGATATTTCAGACTAAAATAAAACCGATTTATGCAGTTATGGTGTTCGCTCTCATTGCATTCTCTTCTCCGTAGCTTTTCTTCATGCATCTGTTGCCTAACTTTGCTGAGTGCTGGTGGGACCAAGTGATTCTGGATATTCTGCTGTGTAATGGAGGGGGAATCTGGCTTGGCATGACTGTCTGCCGCTTTTTGGAGATGAGGACCTACCACTGGGCCAGTATTAAGTATGACTTTATGGTCTGAAAATTTGATCACAGCTGTGTTGTCAAATTTTGTACATTTTTGTGTCCATCCTTACACTGTATGATCAGTATTAACTCAGCTTTTTCAGTTGCAAAGTTATTAACAGTGTGAGAAAACTGAAGGGGGCTTTATATTGTAGCCTGGTGCATGAATTTTATGGTAGGAATACGCCTGATATACTGGCAATAATACATTAGCAGCATGTATATGTTACCACAGTTAAACTCAAAGCCAAAAATCTGGCATTAAGCAGTTTTTGGATGTTTTTTTTTTTTTTTTTTGCTCCTGTTGCATTTTTACTCACTGTGGGCTCATTTTTCACTGCAAAATAAAGTCCTGCACCTCTATGGAAACAGCACAAAAATAGAAAGAAGTCAATATAGAACGTATTTTATGCCAACAGTTCTAATCTCATAAACTTTTTAAAATAAAAAAAAAAAAAGTTGAATTTCTTGGATTACTTATTTTACATAAAATTGAATAAAATCTGAACCACACCTACATTTTTTTAAGAGTTAAAAATTATTATTTTTTGCTTTTTTCTGAATCTGATTTGTGCAACTGCTCTATTTATGGCACTTTTTAAAATATGATTTGCATATAAAAGGGATTTTGACAAAATACAACGATTTCAAGGTTCGATTTGGATCATTTTCTCAACAGAAAGAACATCACTGATGAGCGGTTAACGACGGTTGACGATTCTGTCTGTTTTTACTGTTTCTTTCTGTGATAAGTTTTGGCAATTTAAAAGATAAATCCGCCAGAAAATGTTTGGATTTAGAGAGTTAAAGGATGATATGACAAGCTAAAGAATTATTATGCAGTTTTCCATTTTTTAGCATCTCTGCTTACGTTGTTATTTCAAGAAGATTTCCATCGTCAGCCCAGTGAAAGACAGTTTTACATTATTCATAATTTATTTTGCCATATACAACAATATCACAAGATGTAGTTAAGAATAGATAAAATAAGATGAAAAAGAACAATCTACTGTGTTTTAATTTGCGTTTACGACTTTGTAACGTTACAGTAAGGTCTATTCCAGCCCAGCGAGACATTTTCTGTACAATCTAAAGCTGAAATTGTTGTTTTGAAAAATAATCCCACGTGTTCATCAGCCAAGAGTGGACTTGAATGATTTATGCGATGGCATTACTTTCATCTGGCTTTGTCTGCTGCACTAACATAATACTTATTGTAAATCTATCTGCAAGTCTTTGTAATCCTCCTTCTGTGCTTCCCAAACAGGGACATCCACACCACCACGGGGAAGATCAAGCGAGCCGTGCTGCAGTTCACCCCTGCGAGCTGGACTTATGTGCGCTGGCTTGACCCGAAGTCTTCCCTGCAGCGGGTCATGGGCGTCTATCTGTTCATGATCATCTGGCAGGTGGGTCGGCGAGAAATCCGCTCTCGCCTTCTCATGGTGACTAAGTGCTGACTAGTCGGAGATCATCCGACGTGCTGTGCGTGCTAAGTCCTGGCTAATCTAATTGGCTGCTGAGTTCCTGAAATCTAAAACCTGTCCCACATGGATCCTTATAATGACCGAGTGTCCTGCTGTCTGCATATTAACAGCTAATCCCATAAGTGTGAGACGGGCTGGATTACTTGGGAGCAATTTATGATAATGAGAAAACCATGGATGGAGAACTTGAGTAAGCGCCGTTGCTCTCCACTGGAGAGTCGACTTCAGCTGCCAGAATTTCTAGCCACAGGCTGCCATGGTGACGAAAGCTAAAGGCTGCTGTTTCTCCCAATTTTTGTTTGGTGACGAAGCGACACCATCCTCTCCTCTCCCTCACTCACTCAGGCAGCTGACAACTCTCTCAAGGCCTTAAAAAGTAATTACCAGTCTTTGAGAGTTAGCTGAAGGGATGGGGGGGAAGGCTCGGCTCTGCTCAGCATCGTGACACTCTAGCTGCTCTTCACCGAGTTCAACCACTCGGGCCTCTGGCCAAATGAGTGAATAACATTGCTGCAGACCTCCCCCTCATTATCTTTCAGTGAGGATGAGTAGGACTTTGACAGAGTCTCCCACCAAATACACTGCTGTTATTGTTTTCAACGTGGTTATCCAAGTCTGACTTGCAGAGAGTCTTTGTTAGTGTCCTAACTTCACCTCAAATTAATTTAAATAAGCGTTACATTTTTGTATGATGTGGTCACTGAGCAGTCTATAAACATTCTGCAGGCCATTTAAACCTGCTCTTGTCCTGTTTTGACTCACTGTGGGCTCATTTTTAAACTGCAAAATCAAGTCCAGCACATGTATGGAAACAGCACAACCATGGCTAGATATAGACAGAACTCAACAGTTCTAATGCTATAAATCTTAGAGAATGGAAGTTGGATTTCTTTGTTTATTTCATAAAAAGTGCCCACAGGGATTACCAATACGTATGTTAAACAAACCAAAAAAAATTATAGATGTTTTACAACTTAAGCACAGCCTGCAGTTCAGCTGAATAGTCCCTAAAACTTTGTCAGTCATTGCAGAATTTTTTATTTTTCTCAGAGATTTGTGTTCTTTTGTTTATAGTAGAATATAGTGATTTTGGTTAAATATAATGATTTTAAGCTTAGATTTGGTTAATTTTTAGAACAGACATATTACATTCACTGTCGGAATGTTGAAAATCTGAAAATTCTTTGTATTTTTCTGGCTCTGATAAATGATAAAGCTGAATTATTAGAAATACCGTAAAACAAACAAAAAAAACCCATAACTTTATTTTGCTAGAAATGATGTAGAAGTAAGAAAAAAAAAGCAAAGATATCACTTAAAAGGGACAATTGCAGCAGACAACATATTACACATTCCTCTCACAATTGTCTGTATTTTAAAAGTACACAACATTAGTAACGTTCCTTTTATGTGCACCAGTTTCAGGACCCTGCTTTTGTGCACACATTCTCACTGGCATGGCTTTCTAGTTACAGAGGCCTCGTTAGATGTTATTCACAACACTTGTGCTTGTCCTGTGAAAAGATTTATGGTCAAAACAGAGAACACTAAGTCAGCTCATGACAAGAGGAGATGCACAAATTTGATGAAATTGCCAGAAAATATAAAGTATCTTTAACCACTATAGTACATATTAACATGAACCGACATGACTTAATAATAAATTGTATTAACAATTCTGTATTTACGACCATGCCCTACTCGTATTTCTGCTTCAGTGGTGTTTTTTATGAAGAAATATTCAACTGTATATCTGTGTGGCATCATTTGCTGTTCACCCACAGAATAATATTTTGTCCTCATGCAGTGTGCGCATTTCGTTTTCCGTACCAAGCCCCCACATATTGACGAACCACAGTAGAAAATGCACAGGTGTTACGAATAACATCAGTGAGGGCTCCGTTCTGTTCGGTTCTCCCAGTCAGCCGTGAAACTGAGCCAGCACGTATAATACCGGGACTCCAAAACTGGAGCAGCTAAGTGGAATTCAGGAATAATTCATTCACGACTGTCTTACTCAAAACATCCCTGTTGTGTTTACTGTAACACAAGGGATTTAAAATTAAAGAGTTCTGAAATTTAAATGTGCGACTGTCAAGTCTGGGGGCGTTTGAGCACATTTGTAATGTTTAAACAGTAAAATAAGCATTTGTTTGTCTTGCTGGATGGATAACCGCAAAAGAATTCCCTCAAAACAAGCTCTGAATGCAAGAGAATTACTGCTGATATCATAGTAAGAATTCATATTTGTAGAAGATTAAGGTATTATTGTTTAACCCTCTGAACTCTAAAACCCACCAGTGGATTTGAAACAGATGTCATCTTTAAAAAATCGCCAAAGTTACACCATTTACCAGAGCAAGAAAGTGTAAAAACTGAAAGAATTTGGGGATTTTCAACTGCAGCAGTGATGGATTGAGGATGCTAAGTTGTAAAATATCTTTAGCATGTAGAGCCACAATTATTTTTTCCAGTTTTGCTATCACCATTGGGCACTTGGAAAAATATTGTCCATGTTTTCAAGTTTTTATCAGTTTTTGTTGAACGAGTCAAAGAAATTCGACTTCATGTTTGTCCGATTAAATGATTTATGGTGTTATAACTTTGTCGTACTGCACAGAAGACATGTTTAAGTTCTCTCTACTTCCAGCTATTGTTCTATAAAGAACTTTATATTGCACCAAAAAATGAGCTCACACTGAGAAAGGTCATTTTTATGTTTGAGGGATTATATATAAAAGGATTATGAGATTTTTAGTTCCAGCAAACAACAGAAGCGTTGTTCTGTCCTCGTAATTACAGACTACGTGTTATGTTTAATTATAGCGTCTTAACATGATAGTCTTTATCATCTTCTGTTTCTCTCTCTTCTTTTTTTTTCTTTCACAGCTAACAGAGTTGAACACATTCTTCCTTAAACACATTTTCATCTTTCCCGCGAGCCACGCTCTGAGCTGGTGTCGAATCCTGTTCGTCGGTATCATCACGGCTCCAACTGTAAGGTACAGTTTAACCTGTTTCGGACCTTGTTTTGACAGCTGGACAGACAGGTTTACGATAAGGCCAGGAAGCGGCTGGGACTGAAAGTTGCTAACGGTTGCACTGTGTTTGCTTTTGCTTCAGGCAGTATTATGCGTACCTTACAGACACGCAGTGCAAGAGAGTTGGGACCCAGTGCTGGGTGTTTGGGTAAGTACAAGCAATTTGTAACCCTGATGACATCCTCAAAAGTCAGTTGCACTACATGTTTTATTTACATGAAAACAGTCGTGTACAGTATATACATGACGTGACAGAAACAGGCGGCGATGGCAGATAAAAGAGGTTAACTGACCTAGCAGGTGGCACAAACACTTGTATTTGTTCAGGCACTTCACAGGTCCGAGCTGTCAGTCGGTTGACCTATATCAGGAATGCTTTTGTCCTAAAACAGTAATAGATTTCCATGAGCTAATGTTACCTTGTTCAGGCCAGTGAGCCTCTCAGGTAACAGCCGCCAACAAACATATTTGTTTTGAGCTTTTTCTTTCTTTTTTCTACTGCATGTGGGTCAGAGGTTTCAGTCGTGTTTGCTTTTTCTCCCCTCATTCACAGGGCAATAGCCTTTCTGGAGGCCTTGGCATGTATTAAGTTTGGACAGGACTTGTTCTCAAAAACACAGATCCTCTATGTGATCCTCTGGCTCTTGTGTTTGGTAAGATCTGCACCTAGCAGGAGCCTAACCACCAACACACTGTCATTTTCTCATCTGTCATTCTGTTTGAACATCAATCATTTACCATCAAAAGCTCTCCTTGCTGTAGGTTATTGGTTATGGATTTTCTGTGAATCTTTTAGCAGTCTCTTACCTTTGATCTGTTTTTTCAGGCCTTCATTACATTCCTGTGTCTGTATGGAATGGTTTGGTATGCAGAGACATATGGTCCAAGGGAAAAGGTATGTTTATTGCTTCAGCTTTCACAAGTGTTTTTCCTTTTACAAAGAAATGTAAATGTACACAGATGTCTTGTTTGCCTTGCTAAGGCCATGTTGACAATATCTGTTTCCCCAGAATATTCTGTATAAATATTGTGTTGAAAGTGGGTGGGGAGAACATTGCGGCTGTTTAGAAAAACACTTTACGTACCACGTGTGTGAAGGTTAACATATCCCATCAGTGACGCTTCCAAGAAGGCGCCACGGCCACCCTTGAAATCTTATTGGCCACACCAGATCGGATCGGTCAAGGTCATTCCCTGAAGCTCACATGAACAAGTTTTAATGAGTGCAAGTGAAAGCAGCATTAAATGACTTTAACAGTTATGTGTAGCAGCAGCTAGGTAGCTGTGTGGGCCGTCTATAAACATTACAGAGAGCTTAAAAAGCACAGGGTGCATTCACATCTCTATGCTACCATACTATGTAGTTTGCCAGAAAAAGATTTAGTACATCCTGATACACAGTATGTCAAATGCAGTATGCTAAACGAACCCACATGTCCCACTACATCCGGTTAAATTATGCAGTTTGTAAGCCAGCATGTTTTTCTGGTATGTCTGACCCACAATTCTTTGTGCCGTTACGTCACATGTCACAGTGTCTGAAACAAGTATGAACAAGCTTGAAAAGCAGAGAATGCACAGACAGATGACAGCTGATTTCACATTGTGGACTGCAACCGGGAAAGTTTAAGACGCATTTTTATGAAGAAGTTGGACGTCCTGATTGTACGCATGCTGCATGAAACGGTACAAACTTTGTGGGGACAGTTAACTTAAAGTTAAAAAGAAAAAGTGTGATTTGAAACACACAGCAGATTTGTTTCTTTTTAGTTAATGGAGACACACACGGACCTCAGAGCATTAACAGGAGTTGAAGTTTCGATTGTTGCTTGCAGCTTTATAATCTTTCCTCTGAGTTTATTAAATCCCAACGGCATCAGACAGCAGCAGGATCCAGATGAGATCTTCGAAGAGAGCACATTTACTACACAACGATAACTTCATCAGTTAATCATAATTCTAAATTATTCCCAACATGGAGACAGGATTGATCAGAATCTTACCGTACACGAAATTGCGCACTTCAGACAGTACTGTAAAAGTCTTAAACAGTTTGCTGAAGTCACTGTATTTTCTGTCAAGTTTTTTCTGTTAGGGAGGTGTTCCTGTTTCAGCTCAGGACACTATGTTGATTATAAAGGCAATACAGAGCAAGTTCTCCCACTATAAACGTAGCTAAAAGGTAGATGAGTAACAATGAAAATACATTTTATAGCACCATAAGTTTCTGTAGTTGGATACAGTTTTATCACACATAGATGGACTTTTTAGTGTTGAAATCATAAACCGTGGATAAACTTTATCCCCTGGAAGCATCTTTTCTCGTTTTATTTTTAACAATGGTCGCCTAAATAACCTAAATGTATCTGTGCACATCATACAATCAGCAACATTCACTGTGAAATAAGAAACCAAAGTATATCAGGATGCAAAATCAACAGAATTCCTGACAATCCGTCACAGTTTGTTTTTTGTGTGTTTCTCACAGTCTCCCTCCTATAAATACTTTCTGAAGGTGCCGCGGTTGTGATTCTTGGTATTAATTCTCCATCTATTAATTAAAGAAATAAGATTGAGGAGAAGTTTTTATGGAAGTGTCATCCCTACAGGCTCATGATGGTCCATTAATTAAACCTAAATAAGTTAACACATCCATCACAGAAGGGACATTTTTCACAAGCAGGCGACTTTCTATAATAGTCCTGTCAAGTCTAAATAAAGCTGCAACAAACTGACACCTATTTGTGAAAAACAAGCCGCGTCCGTGTCCAAACGCTCGCATCAGCCGACTCTCAGCGAGTGTCAGCTCTCTGGGTTTTTCCCTTTTAATGATCTTATCAGTCGCTGCTCTGGGAAATCTGCACAGGGTCAGTTAGCTGTTAAAGGTATGCGTGTCATGTGTCTTAACCCCCTTTTTATCCTCTCGCAGAGCTTCTCAGAATGCGAGGACAGTAATTACGCCGAGTCTCCTGACCAAATGTTTGAGGGATTTACAGGTAAGGTGGCTTTACTGCAATTAACCACAAGGCTCATAAAAAATCTGCATCAATCTCCAAATGTTTATCTTGTGAAGGGGTGACCTCTAGTGTTTGGACTTGTGTCTTACTCGCACTGCAAATACACACAGTTGCTTTACCTTGTTTTATTTTTAACATTTGATGTTTCAGGGGAGATGGATGCGGACGGCGACAGCCCCACAACCAGACGAAGAGGGAAGGGCTCCGGAAAGAGCAAATCCATTAACGGCCTCGACAGCCAGTAAGGAATCGGAGCCGGAGGCCGCTGGGTGGCTCCTGAACGCACTCCGAAGTGTGAAGGATTACAGGTTGAGAAGGAAGGTGGGGGTGAAAGATAAAGAAACAACCACTTCCGGCTGTAAATGAAGTCTAGAAAGCCCCCCTGCAGCAGGGGGGGGAGGGGGGAGGCAGACGGCAGAGACTTAGGTGGATGAACGTGTCCATGCAGTGTTATTAGGCGCGCAGCGGCTCAGGCTGCAGAGATGCACAACTAAAAACTGTGCTGTGGTTGTAAAAAAAGAAAAAGAAAAAAAGAAAACCACTGATCACAGGTTTCTTTGTGTGTGAAAGAGAGTAAAGGAAGAGTGGTAGTTTGAGTGAGTGTGTGTCTGGCAATACAAACTGCCTATTCTAGGTGTGACTGCATGATCATTGTAGCCGAAAAAACTATAATTTACAAACATTTATCCTATGATACAGTATCATTATTGATGTACAGTTTTAACTCCAGTATGTTGGTTCGACACATTTCAATGTTAAAAGCCATGATGTAGAATTTATCACTTTGATTGGAGCCTCTGTGTTTATAAGCACAGAAAAGTCTTTTTTTTTGTTTGTTTTTTTAAAAAAAAATCTATAATTATCTGTCACTGATTGTCTAGTTACATCCTAGATGTTCACTGTTTGGTGTTTTTAACTTGAATGTGGGCATGACTTCGATGCAGTACAGCTTTAGCTCGATAGAACCATTGACTGAGGTTTTGTGTTTGACCTGTAACACAGCAAAGCACACAGTTGAAGCACTTTGCAGAATGTTTTTTTTTTTTTCTTCCTTGAAAATACTGTACATTTTTTTGTAATGTTGGAGTTTTTTGTGAATCATCGTGACCTTGAGTGATTTTACTCTCCCCTGTCCACCTGTGGCTGCTATTATTATTATTTTTTTTATTTTTACTGTACTAAGAGAGGGCAATTATTCAGACTCCTGCATGTGTCGTCAGGTTCTCCCTGGTCCGTGTGTGCAGGTGGCTTTCTTTTACCGTTTCTCGTTGTTGCATTTGCATGGCCGTGTCAAATCAAACGTTTTAGTAGGAAAATGTGAGAAAAAAAAAAAAGAGTAGACAAAAGAATATTCTTCGTATTACACCACACAGCAGGACACCAGTATTGTTTGTCTTTCACTGTCAGAGTAACATTTTTAATTCACCCCTTGTGCCTGTTTGCATGTTCTTTTTTTTTAATTCTCAGTTTGTAATGAGACTAAATTTGGGCGCTTTTTGTTTTTTTTGTGTGTTGATTCTTTTGGCCTCGAGTGCTTTATTGATGGTTTATTTTCATTTGCTCCGCCGGCATCATCTCAGTACAAATATATCCCTCATAATCCTTGACAATCCAGAAGTCGACCTCTGCGGAAAAGGACCAGGCTCCCGTGCTACATCACACACTATAAATGGTACATTGTCTCCGGATTTAGATGTCATTTGCCAAAAAAAAAACAACAACAACAACAATTCAGCTGAAAACGACTTGTGCTGTTCTTTTTCACTGTGAATTAAGGAAACATATTAAAAATGTTTTACATTTCCTCTTACTCCTGAGTCGTTGCTCTTGTTTTTCCAACACTGAACGCCACATTCACAATAGCAGGAGGCTGTTTTCTTAACAATAGCAAATCGTGGATGACCTTGTTCGACCTCTGAAGAGCGTCCTGCAGCAGCAAAGGAGTGCTGGATTGGCTGACTCAAGCACGGCCCATGTCGGATCAGATTTCACTCCGTCTGCACGCCATGAAACCCAGACGGAAATAGCTGCCTCATGCTGACCTATAACGAGACACGTTTGAAGGTACAATTGCTGCTTCTTTGGAAAACGGCAGCAAATAAATGCCAAATAATCCTAAACATGACCTAAAGTCAAGCTTTTTTGGATTTAAATCAAAGCGAACATGTTCCTATTTTAACATTTAATACACATGTTAGGATTGTTTTTACTACTACTTGCTTCTCCAACTTGTGTGTGAGCTGATTTCCAAAGGAGGGCAGCAGAGAGCCTCAGTTCAGTGTGAGGTATCACGTGATTTTCTGGGCCTAAACAGCACAGGACATGCCTGTAAAGTGGAAATTGTTGCAGTTCAGTGCTTTAATATCCGTCTCTTCTTCTCACTTATGTCAGCAGTCGTTCTCTCCTGGTTTCCTGAGCCTCCTGCAGCCTGCATCTGTTGCCTGAGAGCCCCAGTAGGTTGACACAACATCAGGATATTTTAGCCATGGCCAAGAGTCTGGCACGTCACGGCAGCCTGGGCCCTGAGGGGATCCTGAGAGAGATCCAGATCAACCTGCTGGAGTGTAAAGTCTGCTTCGAGACGTTCAGCACTCAGCAGAGGGGGCGCAGACCGCAGAACCTTTCCTGTGGCCATGTTCTGTGTCTGGAATGCATCACGGCGCTGTCCCACCCTCTCCTCAGGAAGCTGGAGTGCCCGTTCTGTCGGCAGCTGTGCAGCGTTGACAGCACCTCCCACTGCCAGGTTCTCAGTGACCTGCAGGAGCTTCTGTTGTCTCGGGTTCCTCCTCCTCCTCCTCCTCTTCCTCCTCCTCACAGGGCAAATGGAGGATTTACGTTGGCCACAGGTCTGACATGCACAACTCTGCACCTCCATGCTGCGTTTGGTGGGTGGGGGACTCTTATCAACCCCACTGGGATGGCTGTATTAGGGTCTTCTGGGACAATAATGGTGGTGCATGATGGAGAGAAGAGGGTGGTGGTGTTTAATCTCCAGGGAAGGAAGCTGCACAGTTTTGGGCGAAAAGGAAAAGCCAGTGGGGAGATCTGCTACCCGGTAGATGTGGCAGTGACTCCCAGTGGGTACGTGGTGGTGACGGATGCAGGGGATAAAGCCGTGAAGGTTTTTACCTCCAGGGGCAATCACGTCTTGACCGTGAAGGATTCCTTCCAGCTGCCCTGGGGTGTGGACACCGACAGCTGTGGGCAGATTCTGGTCTCAGACGTCCAGGCCGGCACTCTGTCCCAGGTCAAAGTGGACTACAATCATGGCGTCCTTCTGGAGCATCAAACACCCATTTCGGATCTTCAGTGTCCCAAAGCGGTGGCCTGCTGTCGGCTAACCGGGAACACGGCGGTGATGGAGCATCTAACCGAGGTCACAACAGAGAGGCAGCGATGCAGAAGACTGAGAGTGTTTTCTAAAGACTTCCACCTGCTTTACCAGACGGACAGTTTCAGCCTGAGCCTGCTGTCCACGCTGAGGCTGAACATGTCGGGGCTCGTGTTCGACAGAGATGGAGACGTGATTGTGACTGACTGTAATCAGGGGATGATTTGTAGTTTAGGGAAGCTCCAGAACGGCCCAGTTGTAACTCCTCTAGTGGCAGATCATCTCATCCGCCCCGTTGGGTTGGTGTTGCTGAACAACACGCTCATCGCCCTGGATAGTGGAGATCATACAGTGAAGATTTATTCTGCTGCATCTGACACTGAACCCCTGATGAAGCAGATGCATGAGCAAACTTAAAACAGAGACTTGAGTCATGGGTGATATTTATAATCTATTTTTGAGTTTCTTGATTTCTAAATACAAGTTTAGTTTTACACAAAATGTAAAAAAAATGTCATGAAAGAACAGTTTTAGTTTGTAAATGTCAAGCTAACACATCCCGGATTGTATTTTTGTTATACAGACAGTAGAGTCGGTGATTTGATAATATTGTGTTAAGCATTGGATTGTTTCAAATGTCCCAGCATTGAAAATAAAATCATTCAATAATACGAGAACACAACGGTTTCCAATCTGTGCCTGAGGCCCTGCAAAGCTGCACAAAGATGTGTCAGGAATCACAAGGTAAGAAACGAGACAAGAAAGAAAATTCACACACATTCCACAACTCACGCCTTCACATGATGTTTTTCTTTGTTTTGTAAAACAATGAAACTTCTGAAAAATTACTTTTTTTTTTTTTTTTTACAGTGTGACACATTGCAAAGCTCTTCACAAGTGTTCATTATTATTATTATTAATGTAAATTCACAGTCTGTTGTATGATATATGATGTATATACAATTGAATATTTTAATGTATTTCAAATCTATTATTATTATTATTACTATTATTATTATTATTATTATTATTATTACTTGACGTTAGTCATGTACATTCACATTACATTTTTTTTATTATAGATATTCTTTATATATTTCAAAAATACAGGAAAAAAATCTCTAAAATAAAAATGGAAAACTTCTACAGCTTATAATAATAATAATAGCAATAATAATAATAACAATAATAATTAATTGTTGTTGTTGTTATTGTTCCTTTATGTTAGGCATGAAAATTTTGCCTGTTTTAATTAAACTGATGATTTTTATAATGTATTGCACTTTTTTAAAATAATAATTATCATCACCACAATTCCTATGATGATGATGATAATTATTATCATTATTATACATTGAGCATGTACTATATGTGTATTTTAATAGTTTTATTGATATTTTGTGTATCAAAAATATACTACAATTTGTCAAATGAAAATGAAAACTAATAAATTTACAGATTTTTTTTTACAGTATAGCACAAAATACAGCTTTTTGTAATTATTTTTGTATTATTGCTATTATTATTTTTTTATATTTATCATGTACATTCACTGTCTATTTTTGCAATTGTATAGATAAGTTAATGTATTTTTAAAAAATATTGAAAAACCTGTAAAATAAAAAGAAAATCCTGTAAAACAATTTTTTTTACAGTGCCAATAAGCTCTATTTGTTTAGTCATTTGTTTATTTGTACAATGAACTGTTAAACACTAAATTTTATTGATACTTTGTGTATTTTAAAAAAATTTAAAAAAGTAATTTAAAGTAGGTAAGTATTAATGAGTTATTTTTATTACTTTTTTTTTTTTTTTAAACATATATAGCTCTTCATAGGTATTATTATTGCTATTATTATTATATCAGAAAAGCAAATTCACAGCATTATATAATTTGTAAATGTTTTGTGTATCTTCAAATTACAGGAAATCAAATAAAAATAAATATTCTATAAATGACAAATGTTTATAAAGTGTAACAAATATGATTCATTTTCATTGCTACTACTACCATTAATACTAATACTGCTATGGGTATTATTACTGTAATTCTTATGCATTAGATATGTAAAAAATCACAAAATTCATAAAATCTCCTTTTTCGTTATTTTATTTTCGTGTGTTTCCAAAATATGTTACAATAAATAAATAAATAAAATCTGTAAAATAAAAAGAAAAAATCTTATAAAATTAGTTATTTTTTACAGTGTTATTATTCCTAATATTATAATAATAATATTGATTTGTGTAGCCGTAATACACATATTTATAGGTATTTATCACAGTTATTATGTTTTTAATTAATATAGCTAATATTTGCATTTATTATTGTTGTTGTTGTTACAGTTCTTTGTATTTGTCAAATAACAACAGATCAAGTCTGTGTTAGTGTGAGAACTGACCACCAGCAGGTCATGTGTTTTATAAGTCTGTTAAAACTTTTTTTTTTTGACTTCACTTTCACCTCCTCCCTTGTCTCTGAGTGAATCGTGATGGTCGATCGCTGTGAACCGAGTCGTCGTCCAACCCAGAACCACATTGTTCCTCGTCCTTCGGTTCCCCCTCCGGTAAGCGGCGCGGTGCGTAAAATCCGTTCACCCCCCGAGTTTGGCACAGCCTCTCCAGTCCGCCAGAGGAGCGAGAGCAGTCGTGCTCCCAGTGGAAGATGGCGGTGGGGATGCTGTCTGGGGCTGGAGCAGAGCGCTGGATTTGCACAAGAAGCCAACCCGGATGGATATAAAGCAAAAAATGAACATAATCCCATCTGTTCTCCTCGAAGTCTGGACTCTTTTCGGGCTTGTTTAACGCGCTGTTGCTCCCTGTTTTTTTTGTTTTTTTTTGTCTCCGGCACAAATCCGGGCTTCTTGTCGGGGGGATCCTCAGACTATACATTGATAGCTCAGCGCATAGGCAGCAGGGTGGGAGTGAAAAAAGTGGACGAAAATGTCGGATACAAAGGTAAAAGTTGCAGTGAGAGTTCGGCCCATGAACCGCAGGGGTAAGTGCTTTAACGACGCTTTGTCTTTAAAAAAAAATCCAAATCTGTCTCCTCGGATTCACGCCACATTATCATAAAGTTTTTCGCTGTCTTCGCCATTGCTGCTTTCAGTTTGACTTATGAAGTGAGTTTTGTAAAATCAGAGCAGAGTTTCTTTTTAGGTTTTCTCTTCGCTCCTCACACCCCCGCAATTGTGCTTTTTTTTTTTTTTACTGTCCCGACAAAACTTCTCTCTGCAGAAATTGAACTGAACACGAAATGTGTCGTGGAAATGGAGGACAACCAAACAGTTCTGCACCCGCCACCCTCCAATGCAAAGGGAGAGAACAGGTAAACAAAGCTGAAACGCTGCCAAGAAGTGTTTTGCAGATGAAGAAAGGAGGGAGGATTTGTTAACGCATCGCTTGCTTGTGGTTGTGTTAAAGTCACAGTGTTTGCAGTGCAGAGCAGGGAAAAAAAAGACTCTCCCACCCTTGATTAGCACATGTATCCTGCTGCACCACAAAGAAAAAAGAAAAAGACAGCACCTGCATGATCCTGCTGCACAGGATTAAAGCTGCAATTTCTTTAAATTCTCAACAAATGGATGCCAGTAAATGTGGAGAGAGAGGGGGGGGATGATACTGCACTGCAGCAGAGGACGTGGTGTCTGTCACCCACCTGCTTGCAACTTGATCTTTCCGTTATGCAATTCATGTGAACTTTCCAATACCTACCAATCATCTCGGCATAATCGCTCCAACCTGATATTCCTGGAGGTTGAAGACTTGTTTGACACCAAAAGACGTTCTTGAGAGATGAATGTGGAGCCTCGGGCCGCTTGTGGATGTAATTTGTGTTCAAAACAAGGCTTGAATGATGTGGTGGGGTTGTCTGATTGTGTTTTTTTGACATGATTTGGTGTAATAATCACTGTTGAGTTGTTTTAAAGCAGAGATGGCATCAATCACACCAGGAGGTTGACGTGAAACTGCACAGTTTCTATCCTTAATTGCAGGATTTGTGATTTGCTAGTTGTGTCGAATTGCGATCGTGCAACTTTCGCTTCAAGTGGCGTTCATCCAGCTTTGTGCAGTTCACGGTGGTGTTAAGTCACACTTTAGCAGACGTTCTCACAGATTAAAAAGAAAGGCTCATCCGAAAGGAGACGTGTTTATATTCTAAATTGCAGCCTTTGCAGCGATTTGCTGATTGCATTGTTTTGCAATTGTGCAACTTTGGCTCTAAGTTGTGATCGACCGGTTGCTCCAGACTTTCACCAGGAGTTGTCATGGCTAAAAAAAACAGTCCAGGAAAGGAAAGCTCATCTGTTATAGAATAGAGTTCCTTGATTGTCAGTGTAGAATGAAACTAAGCAGCCATCCTGTTACCAGATTCACACAATCATTCAGTTTTCAGATATGAAATCTAGTGTATTTCTGAAAACTTTTAAAGGTAGTGTATTCATCAGATCAGGCTTATTGTCATTTTGCTGTACACACACAGTCGTACAGGCAAGATGAGAGAGCGTTTCTTCACGATCCAATCAGTTTAAATAAACCAGTGTTTGCATATCTGGATCAGCATTCTGACAGCTTGTAGCATGAAGCTGCTGATCATTCTGGAGGTTCTTCCTTTAATGCCCTGGAAACGTTTGCCTGATGACAGCAGTGCAAACAGTTTAGGGAGATATTTATTTAGCAGGAACTATAAAACAGCCGCCTAACTGCTGTTGCGCTTCTCGATATTGCACATTTATGAAAAAGTAGTGCAAAAAAAATCCAGTTGTATGTAAGTAAACGTGCAGTTTAAGTTCATAAATACAAGGTGCAAAAGGTGTAGGTATGGATCCAGAATGGTTTCAGTGGAGATGTCGGCTAAATTTCATGTTTTCAACGTGGAGATGTTTCATTTCACTCATCGCAGCTGAAGGCTCCTCTTCAATTTTGGTTCGTTAGCTCTCCTCCCGCGTCACACATGATTAGACAGCTGACCTGATTACCCAGAGGCGCAAATAAATCTAAAGAGCATGCTCATTTGGAGAAAAAAAACAAACAGTTTCTTTCTTTGATTTATCGCTCATATAATTCCATTTCAAATGTGCAAACAACTCTTCGGGCGACAGGCGTAAGGTCCACAGCTGAGGATGAAATCATGGGAGGTGAATAGATGCAGTCAAGGCTTCTCTCGTGGCCCACATCCAGTCCTGTTAAAACTGTAACACTTTCTCTGCTGTAACTAGCATGAATGGCAAATGAGCTCTCCTCCCCTCCGCCCTTCCAGCAGCAGCTCGGGTCCAAGCATTAACCTGTATTTAAGGCAATTATCAGAAGAGAAATTGCCACACAATGGCTGCTTTCCAGGCAATTAAGCACAAAAAAAATCGCGCACAAAGCGAACATATGTGGAGCAGGAAGCTTAACAACAAAAAGCTGCTGTGAGCGGAAAGGTCAGTGAGATGCAGGATGACTGGGTCTGATGTTTTCTCTGCGTGTTTCCACTCCTACCTGTTGCCATGCAGATGACCGAGACACAAACACATTTCACGTTTTCATTCAGCGGAAGATTCCGTATCTGATTCAGATGCAGTATCGCTCGTGCACGGATTCCTCTTTCTGAAGCTGTAAAGTGACCCTGACCCTCTGATTCACTCTGGCTTTATTATGTCACATTTCTCCTCTATAGCGGAGTCCAGGCATA